CAATAGGTCTGGGTTGACCTAGTTGCTAATCAAATCGCGCAACGATTGAATCAACCGATAACCGATCAGCAACTGTACAATTTATTCAATCGGCTAATCGTCCGTTCAAAGTTTTCTTTGTTCAAGCAAAGTTTCTCGTTGTACCAGCACATTTTCTTCCAAATGTAGACACATGGACCCAGAGAGAACACATCAGCAAGAACACACACGTGACACGCAAGGCACGCATACAACGCGATCTCGTTGTCCGGCTAGTTCCTATGAATTGACGAGTGGCGCTTGTTTCTCTGCCTTTTCGTGGGCGATGACTCTTCTCATTCAGTTGTATAATATATAGGGAGGGTAGAAAAGAAATACGCTAGGATAAACTTGTGTGAGTCGCTTGTATGAGCCGATAACGGAAGCGGTCTGTCTCGCTGGAGAAGGGAGATGGTGAGTGCTTCCCCTCAGGTAACAACCGTCGCAGAGTCGCGCGACTAGGACGGATCGGGTAATTCTCCAGCTGTTGCTTATGAACAATATCGTACGTAGGAAAAATTGGGCCTCGAGCTTCTCACTCGGTTGTGTGGAAGCGAGAGGAACTGCGTCGTCGGTCGCAGGACAATTGGATCGCAGGATGGGGAGGGGGGAGGGGCCCGGTATCTCCCCTTCGTGTATCGTCATGATTAATCCGGTCTTGCCTTATAACCGGGCGCGTCTCGACTGGGAAAAAACAAAAGGATGCGCGGATGGAAATGCATTAGCTCGGTGTGCCAGTTGTTTTTCCAAGGGAAATTCTCATTCGTTTCTCGACGTATATTCGCGCCCTTCCAGGGAGAGAAAGGGCGAACGCGATAGATCGAAATCGAGTCACATTCACCGGACACATACGTGAAGTCGCGAGTTCTCGTCTTTCGAGGTAACAACTTTTCGAGTTGCACTTGAAACACACACACACAAACACACGATCACGTACACACGACTCTTCTTTTCATGCGAGATTTTACGTTAATGTCTTATCACTCGTTTCCGACGATGCGATCCTCCTTGTGTATTGTGCTGGCAAATGTCCCTTACGTTCAGTTATGGTTCAAAAACACATTCTTTCACCTTCCGAGTTTGGCTTCTTTCAAAAAGCTCCCCCTGCACGACGACGATGACGAGCACGTGCAGCACGGGGTTCAAACTCGCCGGGAGAATGTGAGATTCGACCGATTCAAACGGATGATTGAGTGCGTGAGAGTGAAGATGCTCACCTGACGGTTGGCATCCCGTAGTTTTAGCAATTTGACGAAATAAGAAAATTAATCTAAGAACCTTCTCTACAAATGCGTACCTAAATTATACTTTTTCCAATTTTGTATAGAAAAGAATCTTTTATTATATACAAACGATGGTGATCGAAATATAATTATATAAATAAATTTATATATCATTGGACTATCTGCTGTCAAAATGAAATAAAAGGAGAACGCTCTACGCTCTATATAAATACGAGAAAGAACGACCTCTTACGTGATCCTTGTTACGAGAAGTGCAAGTGCGCGTCTCTCGACATCGCGCCTCAAAGTTTGAACCTACCCTGGCGCACTTTTGATCGCTCGCGTCTCGATTCTCGAGTCGAGAACACATCGAGGATGCTGTCTTAGGACGGACGATTGCAGTTGCGCTAGAACATTGATGTGCATGACCTGTGACCGCGAGAGCGAGTTCGGTAATCACCGCATCGAACCCGCTTCCCGTTTCTCTCACCACCGCTCCTGTTTCTTTGCCGTATGATTTTGCTGCCACACATTTCCTCCCCCTCCCCCTCCCCTCCCCCTCCCCCGCCTGCTCAGCACGGAATCTCATTGTAAAAATTATTCGTGGTATTTCCCTGGACATCCATTTTCTGTCAGTTTTTCCGTTCGACTTCACCGTCCGACCATACACGCGCGCGCACCTTGCATCCGAGACAAACACACGCACACACACGTACACACACGTACAGACGGGGTCGAATCCGAGATCGATGACGATCGACCGCAATTCTCGACATCTTCGAGACACACGCTCCGGGTATCAAACCCGGAGCGCGGCCGATCACGATTGGATTCGATCGCCCAGTCGAAACATACACGTGATTGCGCCTGTCTATCCTTAGTTGGTCGTACATATGTAGGTACATATATATTGTGTATACGTATACATGTGTATAAAAAAAAATATATATATATATAGATATATATTCTCTACTTTCGTATCTGTATAAATGGCACGCCACTCGCGGCCGAAGAGAGATCTCTTGTTATAAACGGAATCGAGCAGAGGACACGAGGATTGCGTTTCGAAGAGAGCAAAAGCAAAGATATCCTTCGATCGGACGTGCGCGCGCGCTCTCGCGAGGATGTCTCTTACTTTCGAAAACCGAGAGAGAGAGAGAGAGAGTGAGAGAGAGAGAGAGAGAGAGAGAGAGAAAATGAGAGAGAGAGAGAGAGAGAGAGAGAGAGAGAGAGAGAGAGAGAGAGAGAGAGAGAGAGAGAGAGAGAGAGAGAGAGAGAGGGGACACATTGGCATATATGCGCAATTTTCTCGGATGAACGAACGAAATTTCTCTCCTCATAGCGTGCGCATGAGACAGCCGTGTTCGCGATGTGTGGTTGCTTCTAATATTCGTATGACGCGCGTCGCGCACGGCCAGGTCCGCGGAATCGTCTCGAGTGATGATATCCGCCGACGACGATTCGATGACGGATCCCTCTTGCAAATCTCCTCGGACGATTTCTCATGTGCCACTGTGAATTCGCGCGCGTACACGGCCGGATGCTGTTTGCTTTCAGGAGCTGTCGCCTTGAAATCCTTAGGAGAAACGCAGGAAGAACGCATACTGACAAAACTTAAAAACAGAATAGAGGGAGAGAGAGAGAGAGAGAGAGAGAGAGAGAGAGAGAGAAAGAGAGTGAGAGAGAGAGAAAATGAGAGAGAGAGAGAGAGAGAGAGAGAGAGAGAGAGAGAGAGAGAGAGAGAGAGAGAGAGAGAGAGAGAGAGAGAGAGAGAGCGGAAGCGAAAAAGAGAACGAAAGTGAGAATGAATAAAGTGTAAGAGAAAGAAGCATAGAGATGCAAAGGTAGAAAAAAAGAAAATATACGATAGAGACGACCGCATTGTTATCGCGATGACGCTCGCGCAATCCGATCACCTCACTATCTGTGATCCGAGGCTCGCCTCTGAACGGCGAGTAATACGAACTAAAAATCGATATTAAGCTATTAAGGTTACGTAAACGCGCACTTCGTGTCTGGAGGCACTCGTGTTCTCTCGCGAACGACTAATCTCGTGGCCGGGACTTATCCTACATCCGGTTCAGCGCCTTTCGAACACACCGCCATTTTTGCGATTTTAGCTCTCACCGATCTCGCACCTCGGCGAGGCCCCGTCGACAGATATCACAAATCGGAGACATCGATGCGTGGCGAAGCGCGAAAACGCGACGAAATCCATTCTCGCGCGATCGCGATCGCGATCACGATCGCGGTCAGTGTTCAATTCGCGTGAGAACATCGTCGCGGAGTGCAATGCATTTTTTCCTCCGTCGGACTTCCTCGCTGTGTGAACTCGACACGTATATTCACCGAGCGCCGATTTTTCTCGTATTTGTAAGCTTTTTACGAGCGACGAAACATTGCGTTTTCAACATCAACATGGCGAAATATGCTGTAAACGGTCAGCAGGAGAGACGATTTCGTTCTCCAAAGTGACGTGCTCACCTATGCGCGAGATTCGTCCTGATTGAGACTCGACAACTCCACCAACACGAATGCTTCCAGCTATCGACACGACAGTCTTTCCCCCTTACCCTTCCTCCTCTCAGCGATCCATTAAAAGCAAAAAAGATATATAGCAGAACGGAATGATATATGTAGCAGACGCATTGAAAAAGAAAAACATGGTGTGAAAACGACCGAGAGTGAGAGAGACAGGCACAGAGAGAGAGAGAGAGAGAGAGAGAGAGAGTGTGTGAGTGAGTGAGTGAGTGAGTGAGTGAGAGAGAGAGAGAGAGAGAGAGAGGAAGAGAGAGAGAGAGAGAGAGAGAGAGAGAAGCGAGAGCGAGAGCGAAAAAGAGAGAGAGAAAGAGAAACGAAGCAATGGTCCTGCGACACAACACTAATGTATACGATTTTTCAACACGAAAAATATTATATATTGTAGCTATATTATATATATATTATATATATATAGAGGTATATATAAAAGAGAATATAATATAGGCAACTATACGACTAAGTGCATCATTGTAACGACGATGGTAATTAGTACGACGAGGATTATTATTTTTATTATTAGTAATTATTAATTATTAATATTATTATTGCCATTATTATATTATTAGTGCTATTATTATTATTGCTATTACTACTACTACTATTACTACTACTACTATTACTATTACTACTACTGCTACTACTATTAGTGCTATTATTATTATTATTATTATTATTATTATTATTATTATTATTATTGGCGATTCTCGCATTGTGATAATCGCACTGTAATTACATCGTTATGACAGTGATACAAGTATCATTGCTACACGTTATTAAAGTTTATTATTATGTCGTCTCGAGAGAGACGTGCTTTTCCTTTCCTTTCGGACACGTTCACATCTCAGTTGACTTCTTTTTCTCTGTTTATCGTTCATGGATCCATTATTTGTAGTGAATTGCGAATCGACGATTTCTTATCTAGCGCATAGATAAAAGAGGAGAAAAAAAGATATCCCACTTATTGTATAAATAATGGCGATGTGAAGGTGAAAATTATGAGTATCCTCCGAACGATTAGGTGGTTAAACTCTGTTGTTAAATAATATGTCGCGAGCGAATCACTCGGCTAAAGGTCGGCTGACGAGTGCAATTCTTCTCGCGCCTGAACGCCTTGTCGCCTTCATCGTTTGCAATTCAACCTCGATTACTCGGTTCTTGCATCGTCAAGTCGAAGCTGAGTTTCTCAAAGCTCGAAGTAACTCCACGTATGACACTGCACGAATATTCGCTTTGCGTTACGTGCAGTTTTGAAAAAATTGTAATTTCTCTTACGCACAAGCAGCAAAGCGACGATGCACAACCGACAAACAGATTTAATTTACAATCGCGCAGCGGGATTGTAATGAAGAAAATTAAAGGCTACTCGAGAATGTAACAGTTTCTCTCGGACGATCCCCTCGAAGTCACTTGATCCCCCGACGTCATGCTATCTTTAGCCGAATCCTTCGCCGATCGTGCGACCAGTACAAGTGCGTTCCGGCACAGCTAGTATACGAGAAAAGCGCGCCCGAAGTTCGCTGTGAACACGCCTTCGGGTGTCCCTTATAGGCTCTACCGTAACATTTAATAAATGAAACGAGGACAAAATGAAGATAAAAAAAGAAATGAAATACAGATTGATAATACCGACGCGATGTGCAAACGAGCGAGAGAGAGAAAGTGTGTGCGTGTGTATGTATGTATATGTGTAGAAGACAGAATGAATGAGATGAGAAAGATATAACGTTTAACATTTACGAATACACACATGCGGTATATAAGATATTATATATTTATATCCTTCACACTCTCTCCGGCCCTTCTCCTTCCCGATCTCCTTTTTTATCCCTTTCTCTTCTTCTCCCATCCTCTTCACCGTCCCGTCCTCATCTCCTCGATCATATCCTGATCTCTCCAATTTAGGCGATATTAGTGGAAAGCAGGCAAAAGTGGAAATAATAATAATAATAATAATAATAATAGTAATAATAATAATAGTAATAATAATAATAAACTCGCCGGTGGTCGAGTCGTTCGCTCGACGTGTGCACGCTGATTAAAAAAGAAGCAAAAGGAAACGCTGATTGTTAAACCGCATTTACGTTTTTTCGCGCTCTCTCGGAAGTCTACGGTGTCACGGCGTCGCGTCGCGACTGTCGTCGCGCGAAAGCCCTCTCTCCCCCTCCCCCGCCCTTACTTTACTCACCACCTCCAATCCGCGTCATCTGCCCGTCGACCAATTTTTCGCGCGCCACGGAGAGAAGTTAAAAAGAGACGATGATATTTTTGGAATTGATTTCTTCGCGTTTTTCAACGTGCGTGCAACGCGAAGGCAAACGCGCGCGTCCTCCCACGCGCTCTTTTCACGCCGGAGACGCGCCGGCCTCAATTTCGCTCGTCTTGCCGATATTTCGATATAAAACACATACACGCGTACACATACACAAACACGTATGATCTCAGAATATAATAATAAACGTCCGTGCGGGAGAGGCGATCGTCGACGTTGTGGCCCGAAAGACGACAGTATACCACAGAAATCATTGTATCGATTCAAATCATTATGATAAACTTAATAAAAGGATCGAAAAAAAATAACCCGTACGCATTGTTGTATATTCGTCCCATCAGATCCTTCCCGGATTCATTGCGCATTCATTCATCCGGAGACCAGTCGGTTCGCGCTGATTTGTATTACTCTTTATTATAATGTCAATAATAATGTGAGTAATTATAATATTAATATAATATACAGTGTACATAATTGTTATTATCATTATAATCCGTATTTCCCATAAACATACATCAACTTTGAATTGGAAGGTGCGTGAAACGTGTACAATATATAATATGTTACATCAAGACGAATCGCGTCGTTTACAAACCGGCCTATACATACATTACAGCTCAATTAATACTTCGGCTCTCTCTTTAAGGCTAATCTTAATCCTTAGTCTTCTCTCCACGTCTATCGTTCTTGCCTTAGTAGTTTTTCTATCACTGCTCGAGCTCTCGGGCGGACCGATTGCACCAATCAACCAACCAACCAACCAACCAACCAACCAACGAATCAATCAATTAATTAACCAACCAGTCAATCAATCAACCGTAACATTTTACAATGACGATGTCTCTGTCGCAAACGGAGATGTCGCAACGTGAAAAAGTAAACATGCGTTCGACGACGCACACGAGTGGTAAATAAAAAATGAATAGGTAGGTAGGTAAGGTAAAGGACAATTCTGCTGCACTTGGTTGACACAATTGCACGTGTTTCTCCACCCGGAATCTCGATTATATTATTAAACGTTACGCGTAAGTGTCGAAGGCGTGTCTATGTAACATGCAAACATTGGCGTGTTCTGCTATTTTCAAGACTACGCAGGCTTTCAACAAAAGTCGATCGGTTAACTGTATATCATATAGCGAGACGATTCTGGTCGTAATAAAGACTGCCATTTACCACAAGTAGAGCCGTTCTGGTTGTTTGTTCGTCTGATCGTTCAGTGAAAGCACAATGGTGTGTGTGTGTATTTTTGTATGTATTCTACGAAGGACAATCCTGTCTCGGTACTCAAAACAAGCGAATTCTATATATAAACAATTTCAATTCTACGGGTTTATGAAAGCTACATTTAAACAGTATATGTACAAATCTCAAATTTCACACACACACACACACACACGTGTATATATATATACACATACATAAAACTTATACGCAGTGACATTTCCACCGCAACGTTCACTGTTTCGTAAAGTTACATCTCGGGCGATTTACAATAACTTGCGATGAATTCGGGACAGAATTTTGCCCATAAAAAAAACATTTTTAAAGAAGTGAAATTACGTTTATAGATGTACACATGCACATCTATAAATCTTTACAAATGTGTCTATTGTATTGCGGGTAAAATTATGGTATACGAAACTCTACTCTGAATTTCATCGCAAGCTATAAATCCTCCAAAGTGAACTTGACGTATATAATATATGTGTGTATGTATGTGTATATATGTATGTATGCACATATGTGTACATATATATATATATATATATATACATATATGCATATATATATGTATATGTGTGTGTGTGTGTGTGTGTGTGTGTATACATTTACATCGAGCGGATATATTCAAAATTTGCATGTTATAAATATAAAATATATCATGAATATGTCATAATTTACAAAAATTTATCTAAACCAGCCTGTTCTAGCTGTGATCAATGGCAAAAAAAACGAGTGTGTCTAGCTTACAGATCAGCTAGAGACCTGTCCGTATAGTTCTGAACAATTCTGTGAAAAAATCGAATTTAAATCGGTAATTCCAATGGGAAATTCACTAACGAGAAAACTCGAGCCGAAGACAGCGTTATGTTTTCGCGGAAACTTTTAACGCCATCAGCTTGAAACAGAACTGAGGTAACACGGTGACTCGAGAGAAGTAGAGTACAACTTGTACACAGCGCACGGTCAAAGTTCACCGGAAATTACTTAATCTTCAATCAGGATATTCCAGCGTGTATGCGGAGAAGCACCGAGACCATTCTTCCCGCCATTTCTCTATCCGCTTTTTCACCAGGACGTTCTTTAGGCATCCTCTCCCCTAGTCGCACTCACAACCTTTGGGAGTGTCGGAGAACCTTCCTCTCCGGAGACACAGACGCCAGCGGATAAGTCTTATAAATCTAAATGCGATTGAACCAGTGGAAACGCAATACAAACGCGATTCTCACATCACTTTTCGCACGATCCACGTTGATGGCAGTTGCGTATTATTGGTGTATCGTATATAATATCATTATATCATAATGTAACCCGATGAATTTATGGATAACAATATCTCTATTATACACACTTCCCTCGCATGATAACGTGATCCTTCGTACATCGTCGATAAAATTTTCACATACCTCTGTAACATCATCATCTTCGTATTTTTACCAGTTCTATACGCGCGACGCTCCCTTTCCGACGTATAAAATCAGACTTGGAATTACAGCACGTATATGTATACGTACATGTACACGTACATGTACATGTAATACTGAGGCCTTGTGTGTGTGTGTGTGTGTGTGTGTTGTAATAAACATTGCAATAACTGAGTTACAATCAGCGCTATAATTCTCGCTATTATCGTATGTCTACGAAAACCACCCCAAAATGAGAGACTATTTACCGTACGGTTTAAATAGATTCGAATAGATCTAAATATGGTATGGTTGCAGGTAAAAACTTCTTTACATCTCACTCGCGCAAATTCGAACTCGTGCTTGCGATATTTCGATCCTCGCATGACATCAAATCCGGTACAAGATGACAATACTTACAAACTAAGCGAATACAATAATGGGGAATGCACTCGCGCATTTCTCTATCACGACGATTAAATCCGTTCGCACGCGGTTATGCAAATGCATAAGTAATCATCATTCGATGGAAACGCGCGTTTCTGAAAATCGAAAGCAATATACCTAACTTCGAAATCAATTCGTCGCGCAGCGTATGAAACATTCCGTAAAAAATTATCTTGCCTCGGACGTAAGAGCGTACTTTTCACCGAGGAGTGAGCAACGGAAATTTGCGATTGACAAATCAGAAACTATATTCTAAGCTATAGGTAATATGCGCCGATGTTATTATCCTTTGGAAACTACGTTCCTTCGAATATATCTCTTTCGATACAATTTTTAACTCTCCATCCACGACAGATACAGACGGCGAAATAAAATGTGAACCAAACTCGATGTAAAGACACTTGCGCGAGTGTCTTGTACATATGCACCACCGTCCACCGCTACTTTATAAACGTTGTCTTTCAAGTCAAGTTCTACGCAGAAACGAAAATTCCAGATGTACAAACAGGACGCCAAGATGATACGAATTCTCCTAATCTGAGCAGTAAACAAATTGTTTACATGAGCGGTCGCAAAAATTACCGCGGAGGATATCTGCCAGCTGACATGTTCTTCACCGAACGATCCTTCATGTCACTCGGATTGAACATCATTGGTCCCTAGAAAATAACCTTATTTAAAAACACTTGGAAGAAAAGTTACCGTCGAGTTACAAAATGCACAATAGCGAGTGAAGAGTCTTTTAATTTGTAAAATTATGAAAACGTCCTGATAATTGATACTTTATATATATATATATATATATATATATATATATATATATGAATATGAATATTATATAATATATTAATATTACATGAGGTAAAATGTATACAACATAAAATGTTACAAGTATAAATTAACCGAGTAACGTATATGTAAGCAGTGAGGGAGCGTAAATTCTTTTATCCTGCTATCATTTCTCGAGTAAACGCAACTTTTGCACAGCGTGAGAATAAAATGACGAGGTAACAGTAAAATCGATCGACGAGTCAATAATTATTTTACATAGACCGAAACCCCCCGACATGTGTACCCTTCACCAAGCTTCCCCGTGAATCTGCAATCGCGCGATCGTTGATGTCGTGAAGATAGCGATTGAGAAGCGTTAAGCTTAATTTTAATGGTAAACAAGCGGCGGCGGAGGATTACGTAAATATTTTCACTTTAATGTACGTAATAATGTAACGTGAACACGTATTCGTTAAAGCTCGTTAAAGTAGTCAAGACCATACCGACATTGTAATATTTCAGTGTTGCACGGAGCGCGCCTCTTACGATATCTCGATACAAATAATTACCTTGAGTAAAATACAGAGAGTAAAGAGTCAACGTCGTTGGATTACCTTGTTCCGTTGAAGGAGCCGCGGATCCCTCATTGTGTAACTCTGCACCTCTCGTGATAACGAGCTGGTCGAGCTCCAGCGAGAGAGCTATATGCCAAATACAACATAACAATGTCGTCTCACTTAACGGATATTCACCGAGTCGCAGTGATTAGCGATTCTTATCGTGTAATTTTCTTGTGTAATACCGATTTATCGTATGGTTACGCATCACACGTATCATCGCAGTTCGCCCAGCTAAAAGAACAGCGTTGTTCTGTATGCACAATGTATAATGTACATACTTGTACAATGAAAAAGCATTACAAAAAGCTCTTTTCACAGCATACAATCGCAGAGAAAATCGGTATTACGCGAGCGTATATTCTCGTGTATATAATTGGCGTAACATTTCTTTTTCTTTTTCTTTTGTTACGGAATTTAGAGAAACGGTTCTTCCATGCTTCGATTACGGTGTAAGTGTACAGATTATTAGTGCGTTATTATTTCATTAGAGGGATCATAAAAACGTCCCACAGCCAAGAGTCACAACGATTCTACGCGTCGATAATACTCGGCCACTTGTTAGATCCAGAGTTATCAAAAACTTGCACAATCCTATTCCTCATGTCTGCGTATGTCCTGCATTCAGAATTGTCGAGAAAACACAGCACAGTTTCAAAGTGGCCAACCTATAACTGTGATAGCTTTATTGTAACTAAGCTTACGTTAGTAGATTGATTAATAATGATCCTAGATATAGTAAGTGGCCTGGTATTATTGACTCAATGTACGACTAATTGCTGGTTGCGCATATATTAACGAACTGCCAATAATAAACAGCAGAAAAAAAGCAAAAAAAGGTGTCAACACCAAACTTCAGCTATGAAACATGAAACACTGTGGAAGTTTCACGCTACTTCTACTTCTATCACAGTACAAGAAACGTTTTGTACAAATTATATAAGAAACACATTTCCGCAAGCAGTGAGTAGTATAGAAAGCGTGCGCGCGTGTAAGACATCAAATAATGATATGTAAAATTAATAAAATGAATGTCCTTACTATTAGCAATAATTATTATTTGGCTACGTCATTCTGCTTCCCCGACTGCTTGCATAAAGGAACATAAAAAGAAGGATGGATTAAACATATAGATACACAGAGAAGAAAGAATATCTGTAGCGAGGTGAAGAGATCTAATTAAGTACTCGCCGCTCGCTAAAATGTAACATAGGAAGCGACGTAGATGTGTTTTAAATAATGTTATCGGTAACATTTATTCTTTTGGCGACTGTCTAATCTGTCTGGGCAGAAGGGAGGTGCTGGAACGTACAGGCGTTTTGTCAAACGCTCCATCTGAATTCTGCGTGTCCTTCGTGAATTTGTTTCCGACGTTTCGTGCACATCCAAATAGGCAAAAGTTCTCCTTATAAAGGATGGTTCATCGAGGAAGGAAGAGAGAAAGGGAAGTGAAGAAAGAACGAAGTGTTTATAAAATTTTATAAAGTTCTAGCGGACTTCTGCGGAGAAATGGTTTCACAGTTTTCGAGTTGTTCCTCTTCCTGAAGAAGAACTGTAATGTTCACAAAACGTCCCAAACTAATTCATGAAGAGCGCATCAACCTGGAATCCAGATCGAGCATTTCTTCACAGTGTGGAAATTTCAAATATCACATTTCCCGTTACACACGTAAAGTTTACATAAATAATTCCTAATAAACTAAGTGAAGGAAACATGATTAAAGGGTACAACGATTATAAATGTACGTTTGATTTGTGAAGATTGCGATGCCTCAGGGAACATCAATGGTTTACTAAACTAGGGAACACGACCATAAGGTGTACAAATTGTATACCACAACGATCTCAGAGAAAAACGTACAAAGGAAATGTACTCGACTGTGTTAACATTACAATATTCCAGAGACACGCCGCAAGAAAGGCTAAGCTGCATACCAGCAAACTGCAGCCACAACGCAGAGGAAATAAAGGTATTGTGTAACGTAAGTCTGTCACGAGGAGAGATATATATACATGTATATGTATATGTAAGATTGTCTGTCAAAATGTGTGTACAGAGCGGTAATGTAACGATATCAGCTATAATGAATACGATTTGGAGTGAATTTGCGTTTGTCTCTCCAGATACGTACTGTTTGCGACGTATTTTCAGCGACGTTTCCAGATGGTGCGACGGCCGTTGCTGCCGGAGTCAAAAAATCCATAGGAGCAGTTGGATCATTAACTGTCAGATAAACACGTTATTTTAGCTTCGTCAGCAATTGATGTGACTGCTGGTGATGGGGGATCAGGAGGAAGAATTGATAATCGAAGAAGTGAGAAAAGCTCGCGGTTACTTGACTACTTACTTGGCATGGGAACGAACAATTGCGGGGACGAAGTAGCCATCGGTACGAGCGGGGACGTCACGGGGGTGGGCATGTTGGACGATGCGGTGCTACTTTTGGATCCGCCAGGATTCATCACGTCCACGTAATTGGCGCGCATACTTCTACCCTTTGGTAATTTGAACATGTTACTTCCGGTAACCGATCTCGGAGGATCCACTGCCGACGTGTCCTCGTGAGCGCTTGGTAGATGCGGTTGGGAACCGCCACCGCTGCCGCCACCACCACTACCACCGCCGCCGCTGCCGCCGCCGCTGCCGCCGCCGCTGTTGCCGCCGCCGCCGCCTCCGCCGCCGCCGCCGCCGCCGCCGCCGCCACCACCAACGACACCGCAACGTTCCATTGTTGGTGCTCGGAAACTCATGTCGGTCACCTTTGGCGGTGGTGCTAATGTCGCTGCTCCGCTGTCGCCATCCTCATCCTTGTTCATCCATTTTTTAGCAACAGGATCCCATACAATCTGCAATGCAGCGAGACAGGTAGTATTATTATTACTACTACGCGAGCATCATTCTACGGTACCAGCATCCACACAGAAACAAGGATTTCTTTGGGAAAAATTGACACATTAACTCCAAAGAACTCCTTTGCCTCTGTTTAATCTTCTTATTCAGTTTGCGTTAATATAATTAGGAGAAATTTATCCAATCCGTGTATTAGTAGAAGATTAGTTGGTTTGCAATTAACGATCTCAGCGATCAAACAAATCCCGCGTCATACTGGCCTGTCGTATAGCGGCATCGTCCGTCCGTTTTATTATCGTTACCGTCGTAACCGTAAGTAGCATTCTATTACCAAAAGTAGCCACCCTTAACGACATAAAAAACACGACGTAAAATCCGTTCATCGTAACTTCTCAGCGGAAAGAAGCTTGGAAAGAAGCAGCAATGACGTAACGACGAGAGACCCCTTACCGTTGGATTGCTGTCATCCGGCAATATCATTTGATTTTTTGGCTTCGGTGCGAGTTTACTGAACAAGCCGCCGAACCAGGAACTACCGCTGTTGGCGGGTTTCTTCTCGGCCGCCTTCTCTGCCGCTTTCTTCGTCTCGGTTGCTGCTTTCGCGCTCGTTCTCGGTGTCTCGAGCGCGTCCAACTCCTCCAACGGGTCGTACTGCTTGCTCATCGACGGCGTCAAGGAGATGGTCGGCTGCATAGGCTGAAATAAAATATACGATTGATCATCGTAAGCTTGTTCCAGCAAAGTTTATCATTGTTTACTGTAACAATGAGAGTTCGCTCGTGACAGTTGCCGTCGGTGACAGCGATTCATCAGCACGCTCTTTTGCAACGCTCTTTGATGAGAAACACTCACAAGACATGCATATATATGCGACACTCACAAACTTATTACAGTAAAAAATGAGAAACTTCGCTATTCGCACCGTATTTGCTTAGTAATTGGACAATCAGCTGATTGCGGATACACGTTAGGAAACGGAAGATCGCGATCTCAAGAAATTCGAAGAAGTGCATAGTATGACAAAACTTTTATTATACGATCGATGCCAACGATAACAACACATTTATGTACATTGAACAGCGCCTTAAAGTAACGTCGCGAAACCTCATAAAGTTTCACGATGTGATTAATATTAGATTAGAGAAAGGAAATGCTTCAACGTCTCTATCCTCGCGTGAGAGTTGCACAGTTACACGTATCGATAATAGCGCTACCATGTTGTACACTCATACATTGTCTCTCGTATTGTCTCATATTGAATACAACGTACAGAAGACTTTGATCGCGACTACACGCGTTTTACAGACTATCATCACACGTTACTCGCACTTGATAGGAATATCAATATCGTAGGTCAAAGACACGTTCTTCTTCTTAGCGGAGGAGACGCCGCCTCCTCCTGCTCCTTCTACCGCCTGACCATCACCATAACCATCGTTTTTAAATGTAAGTGGCAGATCGATCGGATACGTGCCGCCAAAAATGACCGGCTTGTATCTGGCCGCCGACTCGGAGGTGTTGAACATGCTATTGTCGTACGACCATGCGTCCACCGTGTCGCAAATGACATCCTTGCGGTGTATGTGCGGCGCCACTCTCATCACTTTCCTCTCCTCAAAGTTACAGTACTGCTTCAAGGTTTGTGCGTTCGCATCGTCATCGGAGGAAACGTCGCGCATTTTCTTCGCCATTTTCGCGGGCTCTGGCGCGATGAGCGACTCGAGTTTTAATTTGCTCAACTGAATGTCCAGGTCGGTTTGCGGCACGGCTGCAATCTTGCCGTGATCCGGCTGTTGTTCATCCGCAGCCGTTTCCTCCGATGGCATCTGTTTCATCTTGCACTTTAGGAACACCGGTAACTGCGAAGACGGTGGCTTCGAAAACGCGACGTCCGCGTGCCTCGATATTCCGATATCTCGCGGTTGAACTTTCACAGGATTTTGTGGAATTTGCGGATAGCTCGCGGTCAGTTTGGGATATTTGACGCTCTTGCGAGAATCTCGCGAAGCCTTGGCCTCAAGATTCACGCCAGCGGACAGATCGAAAAACGTCAGTGCGCCATCAGCGGTATTATCATTCATCGCGAATGCGACGTATGGATTTGATTTCGCAGACACATTGCGGCGTCGTAACGTGCTAACGGCGCTAACGTCCGACGAGGCTACAGGATCGAGATTATTATCCAGAGTGAGTCCGCAATTACTTACTTCAGGAGTTGGCGTTTTGTCTTCCCTTTCCCTTTCCTTTCGATGTGCAAGCAACAAAAAACAGGTGAAAAACGTTAGTGTCTCGAGATATATGCAAGCGGAAAGACATATTTTCTGTGTTCGACAGATTGCATACGCGATAAAAAAAAAAAAAAGTACAAGCGGATGGTACTAACAAACACGATCTTGATGATGATGATGATGATGATGATGATGATGAATGAGTCACATAGTTTAAACGGTATGACTGAATTATATGAATATGAGAATACAAGCGCGAAAAGTATGACGATAAAGTATCCTTTCGCGTTGAAGGGAAGACAGGAAAATATCGGCAATTAATTAATCTATGAAACGTTCACAATTTACCTCATAGTTCCACTTGTCCTGCTGCTGCGCATTATCGATCTCGGCCTGGTCGACCAAATCCGGCGCGGACTGTTGTTGCTGCCAATTGGACTGCGTGGACTCGTTCCTCCCGTAATTACCCTGATAATAGGATTGCTGATTCCAATAATCTTGCTGCTGCTGATACTGAGCGGACTCGTCCATGCCTCTCATGTACTGCATGTTCGGGTCGTAAGTTTCTTGGATATTCGTAGGCAGAGACAGAGGTTGCCAGTCTGATTTGGTCTCGCCGCCGGAAGTGACTTCCATCATCGATGTAGGCCCGTCACCGTACTCGGATTGAACAGCGTTCCATTGCTGTTGCGATATCATTAGCGGTGGTTGTTGTTGCTGCTGCTGTGACTGTTGTTGCGGTTGTTGTTTCATCTCTTGAATCTCTGGATTTTGCATATTAGTGCGAGGATCAGAGGCACGAGCGCTGTAAGTTTCGGCTTCAACCGCCATCTCGCCGTCCTGCGATAAAAAAGATATCGACTTAAACTGCGTTCGGAGAGACGCCGTTAGCGCTATTTAGCGCTAATGATTGTTCGCGGAATTAGATGATAGAACCAGCGTTGTCGCAACATCGCTAATGATAGCGTGCAAATTATAACTACGCGTCATCAACACTACTCCTTCCGAGATAAGGCAAATAATTGTTCAACTTAATTCCCCAAATTATTCCGACATAATTACCTGATATTTCCCAACTATCTCCGCCAGCTTATTAAGCCACGTTAAATTCGCGGCATCTTCGACCGAGTCCTTGCAAATTGGATCATGGTATTTGATACGATCGCCCAGCGTATAAACAGCCTCAATGAAAGATTTCTGATACTTTGATGCATCGTTCGTAATATTTGTCGCGATCTGTTCGATGTACAACAGAGCCTTCTCCATTAATCCACAGTCTACCATCTTCACGACCAAGTCAAACTTGAATTTCTGTAGGTCCACCAGCGTGAAGCACGGATCGCTGAGATTCCGAGCGTATTCGTATATCTCCGTTAGCATAACTGCTTCCGTGGTGAGGAACTCGGCATACGGCTTGTTGTGGTTCGCTCCGATTAACACGAGTTTGACCCCGTTACTTCCGTACGCCCCGAAATCAATTTGCGCGAGGATGTAGCAGAAGTGCGCTGCATGGATGTCTGCCCTCGCGGCCAATGTATCGCCAAGGGTCGTTATCGACCGACGATTAATTTCCGGATTAGCGGAGGTATTGGAGATAATCATGGCCAAATGAGGCCGCCAATCGTCCCAACGTGGATCCGCGACGCACTGAATAGAATAAGAGAAAATAAACGACTGATGTATGTATCACAACGAAACAAAGCGCAACATTTTCGTCGTGAGACAAAATCAATTGTTGGTAAATTTGACTTACCGTGACTATGGCTGGTACACGACCAGAATGCAGCTGGTACAAAGTCTGCAGTGAGTCGTGCGGCGGTAGACTGTTCGCGAAGCGAGTCATCACGGAAGCGTGTGTGCGTTTGTCCAATTTGCTAGCCAAGAAGAGAGCGTGGCCCCAAAGTCCTTCGTTCATCGCGTACTCTGTTGTGGAAAGGAAGAAAGATCGGTCAACACTTGTAAGCCACAACTATATACGTATAAATTAATATTTCATACCCAACGCTTCTTGAACCAGACCGTAAAGTAACGTATTTCTAAACTCGTCTGTTATTTGTTCTATGGTTTTTCGTTGTTTAATTTCGGGCAGAAACGAATCAGACAGTGTAGAAATGTCTTGAGTACTGCCGTCGCCACCCGTCGCTCCGGATCGTTGAGATATCAAGGACTCTCTACGACCCACATCCTGGGATCTAGACTTGTTCCCGTCGTACGGATAAGCGTCCTTATTGCGCAGCAAAAGAGTGGCAATATCGACTCCGACGACATTCTGTATGGATTAAGCGTATATTTGGATTTATTTAAAGAACAACGAGGGAGAGGAAAGATTTCCTCTCTCTCTCTCTCTCTCTCTCTCTCCTCTCTCCTCTCTCTCTCTCTCTCTCTGTAAACAGTTTGAAGAGGAAAGAAAAATATATTTACCCCATTCTGTTGAATCAGCATAATCATCAGTTCGTATAGCAGAATATATGAAGCGCGATCGGTCAGCTCCTCGTTCATTGTCGCTTTCTTGATCTTATTTTCGCAATATTCAATAATCGTTTTTTTGTGCGTAACGCCACTGCGATATGAAAGTCATTGTTACACATACATTATATATGTCACTCTTTCCTGCATCAAAAATACTGACTTGATCAGAGGTCCTGGATACGATCGTAAATCGCGTGTGATAGGATCGTACGACAGTAGATTGTCAACACGGAAAATGTCGACTTTAGCCCTCTCACCATCGGCTGGATAACTAGGATAAACGTGCACCAAGGAGCCGATGGAGAAGCATCCTACGGACAAATGTTCAAACGCCAATTCAGTAATGCGAGCAGGTGCAGACAATAATGCATGTAGAATTTGTGTAACAAAACATCATACCGTATGCGTGAGACGTGGAGAACTTGGTCGGTGTTACGCGAGCGGAAGTAATCGCTGAATCCTCCAACATTGACATATCGCCCAGAGTTCGCTTGTCACAGGCAGTCCTGAGATGAACATAACGATCCTTTTTGAAACAACGAGAATGTGCGAGGTACAAACACAAAGCAAGTCGATATATTGATTACGATGAATATTAAAGAAGCACATGTAAATACGCGCATTTCTATGGCATTAAATCTTTCAAGGGTATTCCGATACTTCGATAATCGAGATTTCGATAATCTAAATGAAAAATATTTGAAGTTGAAATTGAAAAAGCGAGATACCCTGTTCAATCGCAAATAAGCGCGCTCTTCGTAAAATTCATGGCGAATTTAATGCAAGCTCATATCAATTTTGCGCATCAAGCTCATTGCGATCCAGCAATTACTTCTTCATGTTAAATGCAAGGTCAGTTCCTTATAGCTGCACTTTCTGAATTATCTTGTAATCTTCCCATTTTCTTCTCTCTCATATCTCATATATATCTACTTCATTGTGAGTGCAACTTAGTGCAGCTGTAAAGGACGGATCTATAATTAATGATATACGTTCAATAATTACCAATCGTAGAAGATACATTCTAGATACATCTAGCGAGCTACGCACGGCTATAGAATCTCAAGTGAGAGATTGGGACAGAAACGAAATCTCTGACTTCTGGCTTAAGAAACTTGAACCGAGAGAGAGAGAGAGAGAGGGAGAGGGGGAGAGAGAGGGGGGGGGGGGAGAGAGAGAGAGAGAGAGAGGACTCTCGGTCTCACCTATTCAGATTTCGACAAGCCGTACTGCGCTCCCGCAGATTCTCGGCCCATCCGGAGTATCCGAAATGAGGAACGTACAGCGCTTTGTTTGGCGAACGGAAACATGCACTTGGGATCGGATAAAATCTGACGTACAATGAACGTTATAAAAGTACAAAGTACAAAGTGAATGAATGGACGAGTCTGTGTCTGTAAGCGTTGAGAGCTCACTTTAAATCGTAGTTTCGGCTCTCTAAAAAGAAAGTTTCAAAGCGCACCTGTCATCGCAAGAACTACGACCCGAGTGAACGCTGGCTCTGTCCTCTGGATAATTGCTGACACCCCTCGCCATGCTGTGTTGCTGCTGATGTTGACCACCGTAATACTTGTGGTACCACTCGGAGTAGGCGGCGGGATTCGTTCGGCGTAAATTCTCGAGGTACGCGTAATAATTGTTACCATAGTGAGCACCATAATCGTATCCGTTGTATCCTGCGTTTGCAATTTAACGAGTCGACAGATCAACGACAGATTACGATGCAAATCGACGTACTCGCGCTTCTCCTCTCTCGTGCAGCACGTTTCATTCTTTCTCGCGCTACCTACCGTTGTACATGTAATAAGGATCCCTCATACGCATGTAGTATTCACGGTCTCGGTCGTTGTAAGAAGATCTGCTCGATGGCCTGGAACTGACAGAATACGGAGTGACTCACGGAGTGCTTACTGAAATGTTATTACAGAAATTAAATATATAGTGAACAATGGGAGAAAGAACCATTCGCACATACCTCCTTCCGTAAGGATCATTGTTGTAGTAGTCTCTCCCATACACGTCCCTTGTATCGTAATCGTCGTATCTTCGTGGTCGCCTGTCGTCTCTTCGTCTCTCGCGATCCATGTAATCCCGATCCCGAGGATCCCTGAGAAATCGCGGATCATAGTCCCTCGGATCTCTGTCTCGACGACGTGGATCATCTCCCCTGTCCCTCCTGCTGCGATCGTCCTGCGGTCTTCTCCTGCTGTCCCTCTCGTCCGCCAGTTCCTCCTTCCCCCGGACTCTTCTTTCCAAGTCCTCCCTGCCGTGCCGATCTAGATCGTCACGACTGTGATGCTTACGATCATCGTCCCGATACGAGACATCCCGGCGCTCGAAATCGTCGCGGGTGTTGTACTGACGCTCGTTATCGGCCGCGCGCCGGCGATCGTAATAATAGTCGTCCTCGTATTCACGGTCACAATCGCGATCGTAGTACGCGTTCTTCCGGTCGTACTCGTATCTCCGACGGTCAGGACTGGCCGCCTCCCGTCGTCTCTCCCTGCTGTCCTCCCGGCTGTTACCGGATCTCTCGTCGTCCTCGTCCTCGTAGGAGTCCCGACGATTCGAGTTCGCCCCGGGAACAACCTGGCTCTCACCCTGAGATGCGCCGACCGCCTCTTCGCGCTTGCTGCGCGCTTGCTCATTCGTCTGCTCCTGCTGCATCGCGGACATCGTCGAGGACACCACCTCTTGGGAGCCGGTGACGACTCGGCCGGCCGTCCTGTCGTCCGGTAACTGCACGACATCGTTGGGAGACGCCCCGCCTGGGATCAGCCGAAGTTCCGCGTCCGTCTGCTGCGCCGTTTCCTCGGGCTCGTTGCCCCTCCCGGGAACTTCGCGGATCTCGCTCGGCTCCGGCATGATCTGCGACTGCAGCTGGTATCTCTCCTCTCCGGAGGGATCATTGCGCGACGGTAAGGACGGTTGCGGCGGTAAGGACCGTTCTCTACCGGAGGGATCGTTCCGCCGTTCCAACGTGTCCGAGTCACCGCGCAGGAGTAGAGGTGCTGCGCTTCTTTCCTGTCCTGACGGGACGTCGCGACGTTCCACCACTCGGTCGGCCAAGCTCCTCACCTGCACGCTCTGCTCTTGTCCCGAAGGATCGTTTCTTCTGGGATCGGACAGGCGTTGCCCGGCTTGCACGTATTGCTGCTCCTGACCGGTGGGATCGTTCCTGCGCGGATCCATGGTGCTCGACTGGCCGGGCACCTCGCGCAGGAACGGAATATCGTTAGGCACTTCGTCATTCTCGTCGTCCTGACTCGGCGGGGTCGGCTCGTGTTCTTGATGCGAATCCGTCAGCTCGCCGGTCTCCAAGAACGTATTCCTATCGTTCGATGCGAACTCGTAGTTGTCTGGCATCTGTTCCGGCTGCAAGGGTGGATGAGGCCGTACCGTCGGTTGCTGCACCGACGGCACCTCGACGTTACTCGCCTCCTCCCGGAAGTCCCGGATGTTCGTCGCTTCCTTCGGGCTCGCGTTCGGCTTCGGATCGTTGTCCAGGGTCTCTTTGTTGATAGAGTCTCTCGAACCATAAATGTCGCGTTCTTGCAGAGCAGTCGTCGCGGGCGTGACAACCTCGAGGTTCACAAAGTCCGACGTCTGTTGGATGTTCTCGTAATTCTCCACGTTCTGCTCGGCATTCCACTGCTTGGGCGGCGGACGCGGCGCGTGATCCTTGGCGTACCACGTGTTCTCCAAAGAGGCCGGCAACGCGCTCTGATTGTACCACTGATCGTACCCGCTTTGCGAGACGCTGTCTGTTACCTTAGTAGCACCACTCTGATATGTATTCGGTGTCAAGTGTTCCTGAGCGACGACCGACGGCTGACTGTCGACTGTGGAATGAGAGCTCTCCACGCTGCTCGCCGCGTAATCCGGCGGCAACACGAGCATATTCTCGGGCATAGAGTTGTTGCGAATGCTCGTGACGTTAAAACTGGTAGCGACGTGTTGAGCACTTCTCCCTTGGCCTTCCATGGGCCTCGAGTGCACGTCCGGTGCACTCAATTCAGCCGAATGATCCGTATGCTTGCTCGTCGACTTGCCTCCAATATTGAGCTGACTGAGGTTGCTGGATAACTCGTCCGTCATCGTACAGGGAAAAGCGTGATCGTCGTTCTCGCCGACAAGAGTGCTCTTCGACGAGAGAACATCGACGCCGCCCATCGACGCGTTCTCGTCGGTCATTACGTTGAGATGGTCGCCGATTGACGACTTGACGTCACTCGGTTTCGCTTGAATCGTCGAGTCGTGCGAAGACGCGGTGCTCGCGGTAATCGCGGCCAACATCGCTTGCTTCTCGTTCTCTTGCTGTTCATTGTTGTTGTTGGGTGTATGTACAGTGTTATCTACAGTACTAAGTGTAGTAGGTGCATTAGGTACGTAGTGGAACGGCGTCGTCGCGTGCATCTGCTGTTGCTGACTGCTCATCTGCCAGTCGTTTGCAGCGAATCGAACAGCAGCAGCAGCAGCAGCAGCAGTAGCAGCGTTGTTGTTCGGCGATACATTCTCGTTGAACGAATTCTTGTCAGTCATCTGCTGCAACCACTGATTCGAATGTACGTCGTTCTGCGCACTCCTCCAATCTGCTTGCGATTGCGGCCAGGTGTTGAACGATTCGTCTATACTATTCGTTTGTACTAAGTGCGCGGGCTGATGATGAGCCATGGCGGCCTCACGATTTTGATTCTGCCATTGGCCGGACGCAGCGTTGGACCTGTTACCCGCTTCATTGACACTGCTTTGCTGTCTGCTCAACCGGTTCGTGGAATGTTCTTTGTTCACCTCGTCGACAGGCGCATTGTATATTTGCGTCGACAGAGGCAGCGGTTGCGCGCACTTGTTATTCGCATTGTCGACCGGCTGCGACTCCTTCGCAGGATCTTGCCAATGGCCCAGTATATCGGTGTAATTCTGCCAATTACGCTGCGGCGCCAGGTTCGCCGAGTCATCCTTGTTCCAGTTGTAATTTTGCGGCACCGCGCTCGGCAAGGACGGATGCGCTACCGATGTCGGCTGCGGTTCCTTTTGGCTCTGCGATGACGCAAATCTCTGTTGCGCGTATACCGCCGCATTCGACGGTTGTTGTTGTTGTTGTTGTTGTTGTGGTGGTGGTAGTGGTGGTGGTTGCTGTTGTTGTTGTTGTTGCTCTTCGGCCCACTGAGAGTGCTCGTAACCGGTCGACTGGGTAGCCGTCTGCCGAGACGGCATCGGATACTGCTGATTTTGATTGTAATTTGTATATGATGGGAAAGAGTCTGTGTAATTTGGGCCAGCCTGACGCGAGGGCTCTGCTCTGGGTGTGTCCCTGCCTGATACAGAGTTCTGATTAAGTACATCGGACACGTCGTTATTGAGGTTCTTGTAATAATGATCCTGATGAATGGAATTGGATATCAACTGTCCTTGACTCGGATACGAGGGTATGTAATGTTGTTGTTGTTGTTGCTGCTGCCGCTGCTGTTGCGATTGTTGCTGAGTATCCGACTGCTGGTCCAAATTCCAATCCCAGGGATCCTTCCACGTATTGTTGGTGTGTTTTGATTGATTCGCGACAGATGACTGCTGGATGGTTGCTGATGATGAAATATCCGACTGTGGCCTCGGCATAGGCATCCACATATTTTGATTATGCATTCCATAAGCTGCTGAATGATCCACTCGAGATCTGGTAGGTCTAGCACGGTAAGGGTTCTAAAAGTATATCACATTATTTTCCACTGGTAGTTAATATCCAAATCATGCATATTGCTATATGAGTCAAAATATAGTATGTAATCTGTTGTATATACTTACATTCATGCTGCCTGCGAGACAGTACGACTATTAACAGCAATTTTATGAGATCTGTAAATTAAAGAATGCAAACTTGCACTTATGCACGCACACAGAGAAATGTATCTTAAGGATAGAGAAGCTTGATAGAAATAAAAAGGCAGTGGCTATAGAAAAAATATGGTTCTATCTTGTATCTTATTGTTACACGTGTCACTTGTACATTTGGTGTGTGCGTATGTAAACAATATAGTCAGCAATAAACTATATGGCAAATTGTTTTCCCCAATCATAAAATTTTTATAAATCCTGACTGGAGATAACAACGATGCGCTGCTAGACAGAATAAATAATTATCAAAGTATGAATGTTTACTCAGCCGATTACCACTGGTGGTAATCTCAGGAAACGCTTGTCACTGCAACGTTAATAGCCTTCGTACACGGATGTGAATTATAAATGGGTCATTAGTCGCACGGCCTCACAGAAAATTCTCACATATGTATACACACATCACACGCATGCATCATCGCGGCGCGTTGAAACGCCGTTTAAGCGACGAGTGCTACGTGTACACGTGTGGCAATTTTCCAAATGTAGATGAAACGCCTCGACAACAGTATCCTCCCCATGTCTCAGAGCGGGTGAAACAGCGATAAGAAGCACGTTTCGTAAAGAGCGTAAAGACGGAGAGAAAGAAAGGGAGAGGGAGAAGAAGAAGAAGGAGAAAGAGAGAGAGAGAGAGAGAGCCCGGCGCGAGAGTAGCAAGTCGCTTATAAAACGCAAATTTCATACAATTATGTAACGGTGGATATGTGAAGCGGCGTTTTCCCGACACGTCCGAACGACGAATTAATGGTCGTTGGATCCGTCAACCGCGAAGAAATCGCACTGGTACGCGAGGCAACCGAACGACGGCTTACCAGCTGTGAGAATCGCGGGACGATGACTCGCCGTCGAGGAGCTCAACTTGCCTGCGCATTCACTCACCCAAGCTATCGTCGCTCGCACTGCCGTCTTCGCGCGCCTGGTATGCGCATTATTGTTTCTCACCAGCCGTTCTTCTTGGTTCTGTCGTAAGGGACAGCGGAGCGAACGTCGTCGTCGTCGTCGTCGTCGTCGTCGTCGATGGCCGCGCGCGGTCACGATATTTCACATCACACGGGCATTATACTAGGCGCTACATGCACGACAGAAAGAGAGAGTAAAGGGAAGAGAGAGAGAACAACGAAGAGGAAGAGAGACGGTGAGATCCACGGGTCAAGCACGTCACAAATTTTTCCTCCGAGTTGACTTTCCACGCGAGCAGAACTGCGGACGTGCAACGCGTCGGCGCGAGCCTCGGAAACGTCAAAGTGTCATCTTCGAGGGACGACCGCGAGATGGCGACAGTGGTAACGTTCGACGGGAAGCCGTTTGAATTTGGTTTCTAATGAGACGTCGATAATCGTACGTGTCTCGAGAACATCGAAGGGCTTCTCTCGAACCGCGACGGTTGACGAGTTCGTGTCGCAAGTGACGCAAGCGTGAGGTTTGCTCGTTTTAATTGTATTTTCGGCATATTGTATGTGATATTAATAACGTTACCTTTTTCTTCGTGCTCGACGGGTAACGGATCATTGAGCGCGAGGGTCGACGTCATACTTGTTATTAGAATGCTTCGGAGAGTTTCGAAGCATCTAGTGAATCATACTCTAAGCGCTTCGAAACCTACAAGGCTACAAGCGGATCGCGACTTAGTGTGTCAACAGTTTGGCATATGCGATGTGACAAAGAGAAGTTCTCCACGAAGTAGTAGCGATTTGTAAAAGCAGAGAGAAAAAGGATTTTTCATGAATTTCGCGACAATAAATACACTAGTTTTCTGCACGACGTTGTGCGCGTCGAGATTACGTTTAGTGCAAGGTAAACCTTAACCTACTGTACTTTAGGCAGACCAGCTCAAAAATTCAATAACTGTATTCCGTATATGATTTTTTTCTTAACGATAGGTTCTTTTTTAGTATAATAAATTCGTAATAAAAAATATTAACATTGATTGCAGCATCAAGTTGATGTAATTCAATCTTCAGGTAGCTGAAATATGTAACAATAATTGAGATACATCATCAACTTGGCATCATTGTTGCTTCATGTGATACTCTTTAATAATTAAAATGGCAACAAGGCATTGATATAATAGAGAATATTATTAGAGTCAATTGTACAAAAATAATGATTTACTAGAAGCTGTTGTCATATTTTAGTGAAGCAAATGATTAGTTAGCTTGTGCAAAGAATAAAGCGATCATTTGTCTCTATTTGTCTTGGTTATGTATCTTTCTGTCTGTTCTACGTTTGAAACGAAACGAATATATGTATAGACTTTGAAAAGAAAAAAATTTCAAACGATGAAATACAGAAGTTGTTACTGTAAAACAAAGGACATGGATATATAATAGAAACAGGTGTATAATATTTTTGTATAATTGACTGAGTATTATTCAACATATTCAACATATAAATATTATTTATCAGAGACATCAGCAACTCCTATGATGTAATCAATTTTGATCACACATTTAGGTTTTGGGATATGTATGTATCTATATGTCTTAAATGTTTGTAAATAGATAAAAATTTAGAAGATATTATAAATTTGGATTAAATTCAATTTAGTACTCATGATAAGTGCTATACTTCATATTGCATTAAATTGTGCTATAAATTAAATATATATATATATATATATATATATATATATATATATATATATATGGATAATAAAAATGCTATTTTGGATACAAGCATTGTGCTTACAATATAACAGTATAATTACATCTACCTTTGAAAATATAAAATAAATATCCTTCCTTTATACATTCTTTAGGAATCCATAGAGATATCCTGAAAAGATTATGCAAAATACTTCACTATGCTAATTACTTTTTGGTTAAATTTTATTTTATTTTATATATTTATCATATATTATTTGCTTTATTCAAGTTAAATTATTTCACTCTTTATTTAGTTTGGTACAACAATTTTAAAATTATTTGCACAAAAATTTTTCCTCACTTGTCATGTTTTATCACAGTTTTTCTTTTCTTTATTGCAGTTAATTCCTAAGAAAGCAAAAAACAATGTCCCAAACAACTACCATTGAAACTGTTACCATAACCAGACCACTTAAGGTAAGATATAAGCTTAATTTTACAATACAGCACTATTATGGAATTTTTAGTAAACTAATTATATTCAGCAAAAATATTATAATTGTCACTCAATAAGAATATTATTATTTTTAGTGGAAACTAATTGATCATTTTTTACAAAAATGTAACGTGTGTATGTATATATATATATATATATATATATAAAACTTTTTTCTTTCAAACAGTGCAAAATAAATATAGATTTATTAGAACTAAAGATAGAAAGTAGTTAGAAAGAAGGTAAAGGGACGAAAAGAGAAGAAGCGGTGCAGAAGCGAGAAAAAGATAGAAGTGGAAAAGGCTGGGAAGCAAGGAAGAAAGGTCGAAGAAAAAGAAACAGGCGAGCGCAGAGATTGGCGCTCGCGCGCATTGCGCCGCGACCTTTAATGGGCGCTGATGGGCGCAGCCTCCCTGGAACCTGGAATCCGATTGCTTCTCTCCGATCTTCCAGTCGCGGAGAATCCGTGTTCCCGGTCGAGACGCGCGATTCTCTCTCTCTTTCTCTCTCTCTCTCTCTCTTTTCCTCCCTCCCTTTTCTCTTTCTGTTTTCTTTTCGGCGAGACATATCCACGGGGAAAATCGTTTATTCGTACAGCGTCTCGATCGACGTCTCGAACGCACTGCCGCACCTCCGTGCTCCGTCCGCCCTCGAAAAAGTAACTCGCTCGTGCGCTACGTCGCTGCAGGGAAGAGGGGTTGCCCTCGCCTCCGTGCTGACGGCAGTGTCGTAGACCAGCACGACTTGAAAGCCGTTGACCCGCGCGCAATCCGTCTCGACCAACCCCACCGCTAATGTAAATTCACACGTTTATTTTGCGACGCGCGCGTGTCTCGCTGCTTTTTATTAAAAGGTGCGCGATCCGCAGAGCCGCGCGTGAAAACGCTCGCGTTCGCTGTCTCTTCGCGCATCGTGTCGCTAGGTCATAGGTCGTTCGCCGCTCGTGGTAGGAAAACACTGTGTAGAAACAATGTCCTGTGTGCGTCGCCGCTGTTCTACCGTCGTGACACCGTTTGCGACAGCATTATCCGCGGCCGCTCGTCTTTAAGATACCGAGAAGTTTCTCGCTTCTTTCGGTCATCTGCGGGATAGAAATTACATTAAGCTGCTCTTGGCAGTGTGTTTACCTCTGATCGCGAATTTATACAAAATAAGATGATTATGTACACGGTCGCTGAGGATCATATGGGCGATAATGAGATCGCGCAGGTATACCTTTATTCTCAGAGAACTTGTTTCCGACCGATTAAAAGATAGAGAGACTTTTGTTTCTTTTAATTACATTTATTTGAAAATCGTGAGTTTGCTCTTTAGTCTTTCTCCAATCTCTGGTTTAAATAAATAATTGTTACATTTCATGTCGTACAGAAACTGATGTACAGTGCGACATGGTGCAGCTAAACAGAACTCTTTTATCATAGAATGTGCAAATATATGGCAATAATGTTAAACGATGTTGTGTGGTAGTGGTCAATTTGATGGGTTGTAAAGTTATTGTTGCACTTTGTGCTTGTTCACATTTGCAGGTGATTGCGTTCATATGCGGAATCATAGTGATACTGCTGATGATAATGGGTCTTGCATCCACCGACTGGTTGATGGCTCTGGGATGGAGGCAAGGTTTGTTCGCTCACTGCATTGAGGAAGGCGCCCCGACGCCTCTGCCCTTTAATATGCCCGATCCTCCAGGATGTTATCAGGCTAGAGACAATGGTACGATATTCGTTTGGTCTGCTAAATATGAAATGAATCGTTGGATAATTATTCCACATTTTATCTTGCAGCTTACATAAAAGCAGCCGCAGCCTTGTGCGTAGTGTGTCTTTTGACAGACATCGCTGCGACGATTCTCACTGGGCTTGGTTTGCGAACGCAGGATCACAGGGACAAACACAAATATTACAGATTCGCAGTATTTTGTATGGGTATTGCACGTGAGTATTTATTGTAGCAACGTCTGTTCTTCTTTCTGTTCCTTCTGTTTCCTCTCTTCTCTCTTCTTCTCTCTTCTTCTCTCACTCTTTACATTAATGTATATTTCGTGTTTTAGTGGTGTCTCTTTTGATTGCACTGGTCATATATCCCGTATGCTTTGCAGCAGAACTAAACCTAGGTAACATTTCTTTTCAAAGTACTCTCTTCTATTTCCACTTTTATAATAAATAAATATTGCAAACATCAAAATATATAAGTGCTAATAACATTCGACGTGTATGGGGCTATCATGTTCAAGAAAAAAAATATTTGGGGGAGGTGACAAGAGCACTGTATTCATACCGAAATTGTCCGAGAAAAATGCGTAAACAAAAAGAAAAAAAAAATCATGTATTATCGTGTGTTGTGTAGTCTGTATGTACAAAACGCTTCATTATTAGGTAATCGGACCATGTGGGAATTCGGTTGGGCGTACGGAGTCGGTTGGGGTGCAGCTATTTTCCTGTTTGGAGGAGCAGTACTGTTGCTTTGCGACAAGGAAAGCGAAGAAATCTACTATAAGGAGAGAAAAATCGTACGCGACGATATCGGAGGTGGTAATTCCATGATCGGCATGGGACATCACGCCGGACGAAGTGGAACGCAGCTAGCCTAGTGGCATTGCTCCCTGCCCGATGTTGTTCTCTAGGTGATTTATTTCATCTTTTTCTGCTCTCACAGTTCGACACATACGCATACGGGAAGATGTACATGCCTATGAGAATGCTTGAGAGTTTTTGTTATCGGTCATTTCGAGATATCCGGTATAGACGCGAAACTGTTCATTAGATGACTGTTCGAATTACTTGATCGGTTTCACATAGGACACGTAATAATGTCCTGTTAAATGAATGACAAGCATTTCGACCCTCTTCTGACTATGGCTGATTTAGCAATCGCAACTTTTATACGACAATTTTGGGACCATTATTAGCTTCATTCTGTTATATCTCCTAGATTGTGCGTAATATTGAACAATTTTATATACATACGCGTGCGTCCGCGTATATAATGTTTTTACTGTGATTTAAAATTGGGAACTTTGTGTCATGTGACGATGCTGCATTTATTATCCGTAAAATTGAAATGATAACGGTATCGCGTATTTATTATTATATCTAATCTAGTGACCGTTTTTTCAGCATAAAGTTTAAGTTTCTTTACGCACAAATGGAGACACGTACACATACACATACACGATTCGGACTCGATTTGTTTTTAGACAAGTTTATCCAATATTATGTTTCTTCTTAACTTTTTAATATCTAGTATTAAATAAAGCCAAATATGAGGAGTCTTTTAAATTAAGTTCATTTCTTATTAAAAATGAAGAACAAGACTTCCCTTGTCTGTTTGCATTTGCTCGGGTGAAAGATAACTTGTCAAAAAGAAATTTCGGTTAAATTGTTAACGAGCCACCTTCCAAAGAGGTAGCGATACGCTGTAATGTTCATAGTAAGTCGCGAGTGTAGCATATATTCGTAACAATGCGACGTTGCTATAAACGTGCAGTAATGTTGTCAGTTTTAAGTATGTGCGCTGTGGTAACCTAAACCGCGTTTAAATGAATTATTCAGTAGAGCTTGGCTTCCTCGTATTACTCCCCACCTACACACCACTGCCATTCTCCATATTCCGGTTGTAAGACGACAATTTTCGAGCTCCTAGTCCATTATATTCACCAGCGCGTAAATTTTTCATGCGTGAAACAAACGCTGCTTATCAGACAATCGGACATCACAATTAATGTTACTGCAACATTATTGCCATATACTTGATTGGACTTTACAATTCTACAATGTCTCTATAACATTACACTGCAATTTAAAAAATTATATTGTTGCTACAGTACAACCGCATGCAGGTTAACAATGCAGTGCAATCGGTTATACCGTTATATTTATCACTGTAGGAAATGCAAACAGAGATGTATTAAAGAAAGAAATTTAGTTTCTTATGTACATATATAATTGCAAATGAAACTTATTTTCACCATTATTTTTGTTTGAAGCTTCGTTGTACAACATCGTCGCGTCAACATCTTTAACGTTAAGTATGAGAAACTTCATAAAAACCCCACCATAATGCTCGACCAAATTTTCGACCAAAAGAATCGACATAAAGTTCGTCAAGTGATATGTAACAGGAAGTACATGACGCTTTGAATCCTATCCAGAGTGCGTATAGCACGACTCTTACTTACCACTCTATATATGTGAACAATTTTCCTCGTTATTAGTAAAAATTGATTGAAATTTCGTATAATATACATTTCTCCTTTTCTTTTCTTTTTTTTTTTCTTTTTTTTTCCCCTATTCAAGAAAGTCATCAGAATAACACATCATATATTGATTTGTATCAGGTATTTTTTTTTGTAAATGATGTATATACTATAGATATTAGTAATTTATTATTAATTTTTGTGCACACACATACACATAGTCTTTCAATCTTCTCTTCTTCTTAAATCTTCTTTTTTGCCTCGTTTTATTTTTATTTTATATATAACTCATATTTGATATACATTGATATTGATACTGATATTGACATTGAATATATGATTTAATATTAACCTGGTATATATTTATTATTAGCATATATGTATCTATGTGTGTTAATAATAAATATGTATATATCTATCTTAGAACCTATTAAAATTTTATTATGTATCATAAATTTCGAATATCCATAATATATGAGGGGGACAAACTTTGTGAGGAGAAAATATTTACTTAATATATACAGTTTGATATGAACTTATAATATAAAACCCCACAAATAGCTGATATAACATTTTAGTTTTACAATCTATTATTGTAACGTGTAAATTTTCTCCCTAATTTACAAATTGCGTAAATAACTTCATTACAGACTGACACCTTTTAAATATTTATCGTTTATTTAACTATAAAAATAATGGTGTGTAGCTGAGATGATGTCTGGTTTACGTCCTAATAATTATTTCCGAACTTCGTTAGTTACTAACTGAAAAAAATGTGTATGCGTTGTCGTTACGGGAAAAAAGAAACGAGTAGACTATGAAAGCTTTACCATTGCTCGGTCATGTATACGGTATGCCGATCGTCATCCTTATCCATTGTATTGCGTGTTAATTGCGAACTTTACAAAAAAGACTGTAGTAGTAGTATGTATCGGAAAAGATGTGAGCCTTGTGCAACATGAAGAAACACAATCAGTCTCTCCATATCAAACGCTTGAAAAGCAAAGTTTTACATTATAAAGCATAGCAATGTCCATCGTTTGTAGGCGAATCTTGAACTTACCTCATGTACCTTTTAAGTTCAATTAAAGTACAAGACATTTAAGTATGGATGATGGAACAGAGGCAGCTCGGGCAGACGTTATTTATTATGCGTTATTTGCATTAGAGATACGTGTACGTACATGTGTATATATAGATATAATATTTTATAAAGTACATATATGTGGTTTATATATATATATATATATATATATATAAACCACGCGTTATAAACTCGCAGATGTATAATCTGAAGCGACGTAACACGCAGATCCGCCATACGGCCAGCCTATTAATTATTAACATTAACTACGCGTTATATCTTTTACCAGATAATATCAACTCGCGTGATTATCGCTATACGATTTTCACGTGCTTTAAGGAATAAGTAAAAAGTAAACGAAGTAATAGACAAAGAAATATTGGTTAAATTTCAAAATGTTTTTGGTCAATACAATTGATGAAAAGCTGAAAGATGAGGTACTATTAAGAATTGAGTACAATGTTGTTACATTATATTCCGCTTAAGTAATAGATTTTCTATTCCTTATAAACGCTTAACTCTCTACCCGCGTAGTACTTTGTCGTGTAAAAAACGATATTATGACGTGAGGTGATAATAAGAAATTATACAATAAATTCGTACATAAAGCAGCACATATATAGTATATAATGTATACAATGCAGCGTATATCGATAAAAGCAATATGTTGTATCGATCTTATGTATACTACATAATTCTGTCGTTTATTTGCGAAAGACAGAGGGGAGAACGTATCCAGTATAATGTTTTTCAAGAGCACGAAAAAGTATTTGCTCTTACAATGAAAAACACATATCTGAATATACTTAATTGATATTAAAAGTTTGATTAACTTTTAAGGTTATCGAAGTGCATTTTTTTTTTTATAATTAATAGATAAACGATGAGTTTACACTTGTCGACTCTATTTGGTCGTATCTGCTTTTGTAAATCGACGACAGAATTTGAATCGCCATGTAGTCATCGAATTCGCCATTTTCTAACTCTATCATGAAATACTATTACGTGTGTATCGTTATAACAATTCATGTTATTACTATGCATAAATGTTAAGTTAGAGAGATCGAAGAATGAAACGAGGCACTATCACCAAATGCACGATTTTTGTAGTAACATTGTAGCGATATTCATACATATACACATACATGCATACACACATACATATATACACATTATATATATATATATATATATATATATATATATATGTATAATGGATTTTATCATGCATAAAGAACTGTGGTCTCTTGACTAGATAGAATTGACATAATCTGTATTCACAATCATAAACACACACACACACACACACACACACACACACACGCATACACACACGTTTATATGCATGATGATTTATTTTAAATGCTCAGCAAAAATATCTCGGAAATTGAGGAAGACATGAAAATGTTATAAATATAGGAAAGTATTCACAATGATTCAAAATGATTAGAGGAATGGAAATATATGAAAAAGAAAACCTATATAATTCTAGTAAAAAAAAGGGAAAAAAGAAAGTTAATCTTGATGAATCTTTTCCAAGTTATACCAAAGCCAGATAAGTATTATCGTCATTTTTCCTCTTAAAATTCTACAATTTTTTATTCAAAACGTTCTTACATATTTTCTTTAGTTTCTGAGATATTTTTGGTAGGTTTTTAAAATAGACCATTCTGCATATATAGTCCCTGATTTAATTATATTATTTGAATGTGCATTTAACAGCAGCAGAAGCAGCATGTATAGTATACTTTTGAAGTATATACATATCGCACTTAATGTAATAAGTATACCGTTATATGTATAAGTACAGATAATATAAATTTACATATTTGTGCGCCCACATATTCCAATGTTAACGTATTGTACAGAGAACAAAATATGTACAATGTTAAAATTATAATCATACAGAGTGTCCCATTTTAATCAATATAATTGCAAAAGTGAGTGTTTAAGAAATTATGATTCTATGATATATAAGAGTATACGAAACGAGATATCACGTTTGAATTGAATTTTTCTGCCTTTTGTAGATCCTTAGGCTATTATTACATGCGTTGTACGACAAGCTTGTCGAACGTTTCAATTGGCTGTCGGATAGAGAATTTTTAGGGTGTTTAAGAAAAAGTTTGTCGCCTTAGAAATTTAGCCAATCGAAACATTCGGCAAGTTTGTCGTACGACGCGTGAACATTAGCCTTAATCAATGTTGGTAGAATGAGCATAAGAAGAAAGAAGTGCACAGTAACGCCACTTTCACAATCGGTTTTGAAAATTTTGAATGTTGAATCTGCCAATGCAAACACACGCATTCGAGTGAAAGTAAGGTTAATAAGTCATCGCGAGTGTTACTTTAAATACATAATACATAACAAAAAGCTAATATAAGAAATGAAATAAAATAAAATATCGTGTGCCTCAACATCAGAGATATCTACTAAGTATTTATTCTACGTTAACAGCTGACTTTCCAACATGCATTATCAAATGTACGATGTTGAAGAGGAATTTGAACCAAGAATTATACCGAAACCTACTACAAAACTCGATGTAAGTATATTTTTTAAAAGAATAAATAAATTTAATATTTTTTTATATATTCCATCTTTTTCTCTTAAAATCGCGATAATCGTCGATATGTCGGGAAGAGAAGCTGAAACTTAAACAATCTACTCTTACCATATACATTAATTATACAGAGTAAATAATTCTAGAAAATTTTTCAGCATTTTACCATGCCAAGTGTGCCAGAAGTATCATTAATCTTTGAGAAACCTATACGAGCCAGAAATCTGAATGATGGAGATATTGGCTCATCATCGGTAAAAAGCACAGAACCAGTACAATCTTCTGACAAATCTAAAGAACACATTAATATCGCATCGAATTCAGACAGTCATAATTCATATACAGTTCATGGTACATCATCAAGTTCAGACATTCCTGATTCATATACATCATGGAAGCAGCAGATTTATTCTCGGGAGAATAATCATGTAAATACAACACGTGTTCCACCTTTGCGTAAAAATGTTTATAGTTATAATCACGCATCTCAGTCTGCTGTACAAGATGCTATTGCGCAAAAGCCACAGGAACAAGATAAAATCTGTGATACCCAGAACAGGCTAATAAATATGAGGCCTAATGATGGAATACAGGAGAAAAGTGTGAAATTTAAATGTTCCGATATGGAGAATCCCCATAGTCACAAACCTACCGAGACCCTATTGTTATCTTCCGACAAGAGACAGTTATTGTCTTGCAATCCTCTGCAGAAGGCAACATGTGTAACTGACCCTGCTGCAAGAATGCCTAGCAATGTTTTTGTGGATGCTCTAAAACAAAATGAACATCTGCAGATACCATACACGTCATGCCCATATCCTCTTCAACAATTTTACCCACCCAGCTATTCAAGTCGCGATGTAGACAATAACGAAACAGTGAAGACTTTGTTGCAGCTTGTGAACAGTCAAAGCGAACAGATCAAAACTTTGCAGTCGCAAGTGGACAGGCTAGTGAGGCTGCAAGAAGAAAGTTTCAGGAGCAAGTCGACATGCGCCTGTTCGTCATCTCACGCAAATCAAGTGTTTGGATACTCCGCCATAAATTGTTACGACACCCGCGCGCAGTCGCACAATCAGGTTGCGGAGCAAACTGCAGGGCAAAATCTACCAGTTACAGAAAACAAGAGCCAAGAAAGCTACGGTGGCGATAGAGACAACAGTAAATTGGAAATGGCATCATCGGATCAGCAGCCAAAGAAGGCTTTTATGGAACAAAAAGTTTCCATTGGCGTTATGACGAGTTTTGAATTTACTGTACAAAATAGCCCATTTCTGGTGGATTCCGAAGTGTACGAAGAAAAGCGGACTGTCGGATCTGCAGGAGAGACTGACGATATTAACAGGAGAAACGTCGTGAATGTGCACGATACACCGGAACCTGTTAAAAGATACAAGAATACATTTACGCGCAAACTCGGCACAGCGCAATTGGAGAACATAGTCGAAGACACGGAGAGTTATTTGTCTTCTAGCCACCAGCAGAGCAGCAATTTCAACGCGAGCTCGTCCGCGAGGGATTCAGGGAGGCATACACCGAAGCAATCAGATCCGTATAACACGACCAATATTTCGGAGTCTCCAAAGATGCATCGGCGTCACGCTGCCGATCTGAATCGAGAGAAAGTACACGAAAAAGAGACTTATATAAGGGAAAGCGATGACGGAGATACGGACGAGCAAATACAAGATATACGAACGATGCCGAGCGCGCCTAGATATATAGAACGTGGTTCTAAGAATGCAAGCTACGATAAAGCGTTTGTCGTCAACGACGTCGTCAACAATTACACCGCGACGGATAGAGAAAACAGCAACGAGAGGCCGAGTGCCGACAGAAAGAATCCACGTACACACACACACACAACGCCTACAACGAATTACTATCAAAGTCACAGAAACAAAGAGTCAAATGCTAATGTGAGAGAAGCAAAAAATGTAAATGAAAGCATAGCATTGAGCGGAGGTGACCTCAGGATATTCGAGAGACCTCCACCGACTCCGGAACCGAGTATCCATGTGGAGATGCAGGAGTATACGAGCGATGACGAGAGCGACAAGGTCAAGCGTACTTCGAAAATAGGCTGGACCTTCTACAACAATGTGCTGGGGCAGGTCAATGAGCTCTTGCAAAACTCCAGCGTTACAGATGATAAGGAGCATCATGAGACTAAAATATCTCGTGGAGTTGAGCAGGATGATGATACAGAAGCGACCAGAGTAGCATTGCACACTGTTAAAGCAGCTACTTTGGAGCAACTTCGAAAGCTTGGAATTGATATAACCGACAAAGAACATAAAGAACTGAATGATAACAGTAAGACGTACGTGTCTCTATTTCCGTTTGTATCGGATCGCTATCGGATCGGATCGTGCATGTAGCGGAAACATTCTAATTAATTTTCTTTCAAGGGTGGACTTTGATTCGTCTTATTACCCTCGTCTAGACCATCAGGCGAACATGATGCACGCCACTAGTATTGTAAATGACACAAACACGAGTATGCATATGAAAGCATTGGCATTGAAGTATTTAAGTGATGAGGAACTCACCGATATAGCATTACACAAACAGGGATCGTCTTCCTTAAAACATCTTATGCTCAGCAATATGCAAGGGACCAACCTGTCGTTCGCTACAATGCGCTACTTAGAAAGATACCAATTGTTACCGGGACGAAATCAGGACGTTCAAACGGCAGGTAAGTATCCAAGTAACCAATTGATGATGCGAGAATTCCACGAACATGAATACAATGTAAAATTATAAAATTTCACACATTACAAACATTACAAAACTCCCTTTTAAAAGAGCGCTTGATTCACGCGCTACCGAACGTATATGTTTATTTGTGTTTTAGATATTGGTCAGGTGTATGCTGAAGTAGCATCTAAACGTACTGATTTTAAACCAACGACTGCAAAAAATAGTCCTGCTCTACGTCAGTTCCCTTTTGTGCGAACACCAGGAACCACATGTCCTAGCAGGATATTGGATATTTCAACGTTAAAACGACAACCGAAATTATTGTAAATTTTAGGTCAAATTTGATATTTTTTTATATGAATGTGTGTAATATATTTTATGGAAAAAGAAAAAAGAAGAAAATCTCAGAATTTGATCGGTATGCAGCAAACGTTGCTATTTGTATAATAAGTCGACTCTGCAAACGCGAAATATTAATAAACATTATCATTATCATTTATTATAATGCCTCTTTTGCTGTTATTCCATGCTTTGTACAATACTATTTTCCCCCCTTATTTATGTTGCGGGGACGACGATACTATATTTTTACAGTAGTATTAGTTTTGTAATAATAAGTACGTTACTGCGAGTCACATGTGCTTTCGCTAGTGCGCGCGCGTGTCAACGACGCCATCATTCTGACATCACCGGTTTGTTACACGTTGATTACGGCAAATGTCTCAAATGCTCCAAAGTGATACTGTGTGAATCGGTGATTTCACAGTTTCAAGGTAAATTCAAGTTTAATAACTGTAAGATCGTCTTTCGTGCGATACGAGTTCATTTTCAGGAAACAATTTGTGCGGGCCTGAGACATTTATGTATTAAAATATCATCAAGATGTGTTAACTTGAGATTAATGTCGACTGTTTATTCTTCCAGATGATCACAGACGTACAACTGGCTGTGTTTTGCAACATTCTGGGAGTTACACTGTTCTTTTTGGTGTTTCTCTTCCATTACATAAGCGCAAATTATTCAAAATGAATGGAAAAATGTCACTCAAAGTTTACTCAACATAACCTACATTAATGGATTAAGATGACACTATGTTCCTTCTACGTTGATGAACACAGCCCACTCCGCGACGGAAGATACTAGGATATTAGGATTTTGTTTATGTATGGCACAATAAGTAAGAAGCCTCCAATCTTTCTTCCGTATTATGTGGGGTTTTTAGAAAATAAAATTTTTATCATGGTTTAATTCATTGTGTTTTATTTCTGACAAGCTTTATCTTTAAGATATGTGATTGGACGAAGAAATTTTCGATAGAAGTAAGCTGCGGTTTATGTTAGAACAGAAATCCAATCACAACTATAATACAGGGACTATTGCACAATATCTATATATCTATATTGTAAATGGCTATGTAAGCTCATCAATCAATTTTAATTGGTGTCTCAGGTCAAACCTGAAACAATTTATTTCTCATGTCGCTGAGTTATCATATTGCAGATTAAATATGTAGAAAAGGGAAACCAGGATACAATTGCAAGCTCTCGCAAAGTATGATAACAAGTTTTAAATATTTCCCACTTGATTGCAGAAGCTGCGAACGTTTGCCCGAAGATGATCTCCAAATGAAAGGATTAATATACTGCTCGTAATTAAAAATTACGATTACGTTGAGTGCTGTTTTTGTTCTTCCACAAAATGATGGAGAATCGAATAGAAAAGAAAAAAAAAAGAAAAGTGGGAGCCATGTATCCCACCTTTTATTAACATACAAGGTGTAGTAGTCGTACGTGGTAGGGAGGGGGCTGTCGTAATACGCGTTGAAACAACACTCGAGCTTCTTCAAATGTGGATTCATTTGCGTCACGCACGTAAGCGCTTCGCAGGTAGTTTAGTTTTGCGTTAGTAATCGCGCGCGAGTGCCGTACAGTATCGAGTGCGAGCTGCAACGTGGTTTCGAGATCAAACGCGCACATTTCAAAGATCAATCTATATATTTCTAAACGCTCTCAGGCGATATATCTCACGATACATTTACATTAATAAAATGCTTGAAATCACGTTGACGTGAAGACTTGTCTCGCGCACCTGTACTCGTGCTTTATTACCGAGCGTATTTACCATACCCCCCCCCCCCCGGGTCGAATATATCCTTTAAATTTCAAATAAACAGCTCGTTGAGCTGTTCGATCTACGTAATTCGTTTTACAGTTTAAAGTTAATCGACTGAAAGCGAAGAAAATCGCAAGTGAACTGGCAATGAAGAGGTAACATGTGTGTTACAATCTTTGTTTCAAAAGGTCCAAGTACTTTGCGCTCAGCCACACACCTGCGGACCGAGTTAACGAAAAAATGTTCATATTCGCATTACTTTGTTATTGTGTAATTACTATTCACGGGTTCGTCTTTCAAGAAGCTTTGGAGTGCGCTAGGTGCCTGACGCTATGTCGAAATGTGAGTAAGATCAGGGGCAGCATTTCACTTGTCGTAATGCGTCGTACGATGCATATTTTCGCTCGAATTAAATAAGGATGTGAATCGGAAACCGTATTATGCTCCGTCTTTGTCATCTGATGTTTCACACGCTTTTCACGCTTGATAATTTGAGTCACATCCGTGACTCGTGGACTTCGCATGAAAGTTTGCAATGTTTTAGTTTACACTATGAGATCTACTTTCAAAGATATATATCGGCAAGTGCAACGTGTAACGTAAAGTGATTCTATGTCGACAAGATAATAACGCTGTAAAAAAATTCGGAGGACTTTGCAGCGATAGCGAGCATAAAATTCGATACATGTCACGGCGATATCGAGATAGGAACGCCAGAGGTATGACACCGAACAGGTATATATATTTAACAAATGAACCGTGTCGAGGGAGGTATATTCGTACGTATATCGTATGTATATCTTTCGCGTCTCTCTCGACTCGTTCAACAAAACAAGTTGCGGTATAAAATAAGAATGCGAGACAACTGTCTCGTTATCTAAATGTTATCTAAAGAACACACGACAATGTGACGGTGTTGAAGAAAAGGAATGTTTTTCTTTTTTTTTATATATATATATATATACTTTACACTCCAAGCCAAACGACACTCAAGTATGTATCTTTCCGAGAGAGTGACTCGGTGGCTCTTGACGGACCTCGCTCGACGAAATTCACCCATGTTGAAACTATGTCTGTTTTATAGAGACACGAAATAAACATACATGTTCAACGACACTGGACACATTTTAGATCTTCGTTTCGACATCTGTCAACACCTGTGTCAATATCCCTCAAACATAGCTACACGCGCGCCGCATTCGACTCCGCTGCTGCAAAAGCATCGATGTTGCATACTTCACGTTCTCTTCCGACGTGTATGTACATTGGAGAAGTGTGAAATTCTAATATTTAACAACACGTTCGCTCGGCCGCGGCCACGTGACATTGATGTCAACTATTTGCATATTGTATAAAATGTATCACTTCGCCGATACTTCAATGAACAATGTGCGCAATTACAAGTTAAAGCGGATTGTAAATAAGCAAATTGAGTGAGAAAAGTATCGAGAGGCGGCAGACGGTAGACTGCATAATGCATGAAGTCGGTTCAAGCGTGTTTATCTCCTTGTTCGCATTTCCTCTTGCATGCACCTGCGGAAGGTCACTCCTGCGAGAACTGGATTACACAGTCTCTTAACGGACGCTGAATTGATTGAAAACTAATTGGAATTTGTACTCCTGTAAAAGATCAAGTTAGACAACAACAGCGAGACAGCACGAACCTTGAAAAATATGCCTCGAAAACTTGTGTCATCTGAAATAGATGATAGAGCGTCTCTCTTGGACGTTCATTTGAAAATTTGCGTTGGCTGAATTATCGATTCCCTCGGGACAAATTCTGCCTCACAATTTCCGCGACATTTAAAAAGTCTCGCCGCGTCTTTGTCTGCCGCGTGTCGCTGAACCAAATTGGCGGCGTACACAAGTAAGCGTACATGTATTCATACATGTAGACGTAGTGGATCAGACGCGACTCACCAGACGCGAACGCCCAGACTCATAATGCTCCCGACAGGATTCTGTAATCTGATCGCTGATCGAAACACATCCTGTGTTTTTATCACGCTTATCCTGCTGTCTTGCTCGAGATTCAAGGTACGTTGAGACGGCTGCGCCGCTGCCGCGCTTTACAATCCGACGTAGAACTCGGACTTTTATGAGCGCGATGCAAATTAAAGTCCGATCAGCCGTCATCCTCGCGACTGAGGCGGTATTTGAGTATCATTTAAAGACTTAGGATATGTGTGCGACGGATATGTGTGACCATGCCGGGAGCGATCGTGTTCGTATAGTGTGTGTGTGTGTGTCCGGTCGGTTCAAAAATACATCGCTGAATATTTGCCAGTATATAATACCACACACCAACAGAATCTGGTGTGTGTACGTGTACATGTGTGTGCGTGTATATACGCCGTTGCTTATTACTTACTTTTATGGTGTCTGCACGGTGCTTTGAATCGCTCGATTAATAAATTCACAAAAATAATAGAAAATCCGTAAGTAGAATATGATATTTCGACGTGTTATCGTGTAATAAAAGGAGAACGATCTGTCTTGTTTCAGGAATCGTGCCGGAATAATTGTCCACTGATTGCGGGCGAATTTGAGCGTAAGTTGAATGTTCGATCTAACGATGTAACGGAGAATCGTGAGACAACTAACAAAATCGCGAGTATACATGAAATGTGTTACAACATATGGGAACTGTTTTACGATAGCTTATCCGAGAATAAACGAGGAGGCTGGCGCAAATGTTAGTCTGCATTGCAAGGGAACGAATGTGCTTATGATCAAACACAATCCTGGAATCTATGTTATCGAGCAAAGCGCTTCTAACGACACTTGGGACGCGACGGTAGTGGTAAATGTGTGTACCTTTTGAAACTTGGAACTATACAATCGATTAGATTGATTCAGAGATCTTTTCCCATAGAATACACATTTCACTCGTCGTTGTATCTCTACTTGAAAACTGCTCTGCTGCGTGTTTGTGTGTTTTAACGTCCGCTCGGTGGTGTTCGGATGGAAAAAGACTTGAATCGACTTATTACTTATCATACATCACAAAGTAGATTTCTTTCGCAGAGCATCGACGGATTATCGACATTTTTTAACTTGACGGCGAGCACGTTTTATCGTTACCGTTTGCACAGAATAACACAGCACGGAGTATCATTAGCCGAGACGTCTAATTGGTTCTCAACTTATGCAGGTTTGCATTAATTTTAGAGTTGAGTCTTCCTGTTGTTAATTTACGACAGCTTATCCTTAAAATAACCTGCCTGTTAATGTGTGCAGCTGATCATCAACCACGCGCAGTCGAACACGTATCACTGCTAAAGATCGAAGTAGATGATAAAAATGCTTGCAAACTACGAGCAGAAATTGTTTTTAAACCTGCCGAAGGTAATTCCGGTGCAATGCTTGATAAAAAATCTAATTCACTATCACGTGTTTACACGTGCATACAAAGCACTGTGCAATTACATATTTTAGATCGAAGCTGTAATTACAACGTGTTATCTTGGTCGGGGGAGCATAACTTGGTCCATTTTGATATAGAAAAGGTGAGGAGTCGCCATATTAGCGCAATAACCGTCGCATATTAACAATCCTGTATCTTCCTCAGATTTTAGATTTCCGCTTCTTTCTCAGACACTTACAGTACGACCAGAATAACACCGTGGCGATTGTGTCCGGCAACGATGACTTCTCCAAGATCAGTAACACGACGACATTCACTTTTCTCACGCCATCATGCTTGGAGATTCACAATAACCTGAGTATCTGCGGTGAGCCATTGATATCTGCAATGTTGCGAGAAAATCAAATTGCTTCGAGAGTCTCCAATAGCAGCTAAATCGCATTGCTATAAATGTATAATAATTGTACAACAATGTCTTCGACTGTAGCGCCGGAAGTGGTAAAAGGCCTGCGAGCAGTGCATATTAAAAGGCGCAAAGGATCGTACGATATCATAGTCAGCTGGAATAAACCCGCCTTGCAACCGGACAATTACACGTTACAAATCGATTCGTTTCTATTCGAGCCACGTCTATTGATTGTACCTGGAGTAAGCATCATCGTGACGATAACTATCGCATCACAATCACCACAAGAAAGTCCTTAAAATCATCATGGTCCTTCTTGCAGAACGCGGTTGAGGCTCTCTTCTTGGATGTCGATGTAGGGCCGCGGTATGATGTTGGTATCGTGGCGGAATCACCGGGCGGTGTGAGCTCGCTGTCAAGTATAACGGAGAATATTGACGAGGAAGTAGCAAGTAGGCAGCCAAAGATTATCTCTCGATCGATCACGTCGAGTCGATATTTTGCATAATTGATATTTTCTGTGATAGTTGTGGAGCTATCCTATCGCGAGATTATTGTGGCATTACCGACGTTGATGATTATCGCGGTGGTGTTCGGGGCGATTTGTGTACAGCGTCGTAACAAGAAGATTGAGCAAACTAATATGGAATATATGCATTTCGAGGTGTGTTTATATAATACTGACCGACTGAAAGATTTATCACAAAGACGTTACGAGCATGTTATCATTTCGATAGAGGGTAATAGATCAAATTTCCTAGTTGTCGAAAGTAGAGTATTTCGAGACTTACCTGCTCAACAGGACTCCACAGACTTCCTGAAGAAGCCTTTGAGGCGAGATTACGCGATCGAGAGTGGCGATACTCTTCTGCTGCGTGACAAGTTCGAGATCAGTCCGCAACAACTGAAGTTAAAGGATGTACTGGGCAGTGGAGCGTACGGTATCGTCAGATTTGCCAGCTTGCAGGATGAATTCGGTGCTGTTACTGATGTAGCTGTGAAAATGATGAAAGGTATTATTATGGAGGCACAGAGTTGTGATAAAATAAGTATATCGCCGATACATAATTACAAGAGACATGTGGAAGAAATTACATCACGTGTAAAAGTATTAGAATAGAATAGTTGGAATAGTATAAATATTGTCGAGACGTTGTCCCGTGATCTAGATGATCCGACGGTGGAGGATATAAAGAGTTTTCATCAAGAGATCTCAATGATGAAGTCGGCCGGTCAGCACCCGAATATAGTGTCTTTGATTGGGTATTGCACTTTGTACGATAAACCAGTACTAGTAGTGGAGTATTGCAGCAAGGGAGACTTGCAGACGTATCTAAGAACGGTGAGCTACACATGACATACAAAGATGTATTGCCTTCGGTCGGTAGTAACTACTTGTTGTATGCACAAAGAAGCAACTGTTTGCACCTTCTATTGAAATTTCCATTTCAGATTTGGCAGAATTTAGTGAATGCCGTATTCGAGCGTAGAACGCGACTGAAATTCGTCCCGGTGACTTTCGTCAATAAAGGCGCGGATCAAGGTTTTAACATTGTGTGACAATAATCGCATGTTGTATATTATATAAAAATGCTCAATCGATACTTGTTCTACAGAAACTTATATTTTTCCTGCAGGAAAAAACAGTCCTTATTGCAACAAAGTACGAACAATCGCCAATCGTTTGTACGATATTCAACAAGGTAGATAACACAGTTGATTCTTTAATAATTTATATATGTATAATTTGTACTATACATACATAATATAAATAATATATATATGTATTTCCGCAGACGTGATAAAATACACGGAAAACGTCACGTGTGCGGATTTGTTGAGTTTTGCCAGGCAAGTGGCTACAGGAATGGTAAGATACATCAAAATATATTAATCTATATTTCACACACATACATATAATTATACATATATTGCGCTTGCATGTTGTACGTTTTATGTAAGAGCCAAGAGACAATCAATTTTGCCTCTTGACTTGCTGAAAATATGTTCGTCAGATTTTGTAACCAGTAACCTAGACACACACACACACACACACACACACTTTCTTAACTCTCTTGCTACGTGCAATTCAGGATATGATGGATATTATCCTTAGGAATTTTTATCTTCTAATCGGATAGTGCACCGTGACTTGGCTGCTCGCAATGTATTGGTACGACCGGACAGAGTGGTGAAAATTTCAGATTTTGGCCTCAGTCGTGATATCTATCAAGAGAATGTTTATCGAAAGAAGGGAAATGGTAAATTACCGTTAAAATGGATGGCAATCGAGGCTTTAACGCATCAAATATACACTACTTATAGCGATGTGTAAGTTTTTTTCTTTTGGCTAAAATCGCACTGTATGCATTGTATAATATTATCTCGTCTGGTTGTTCATGATGGGACTCAACTTACAGATGGGCCTTTGGCATTCTGTTGTGGGAAATCGTCACTTTAGGCGCAATGCCGTATCCCGGTACTCCTACAAATAGAATTTTGCATCTTCTCAAGTCGGGGTACCGCATGGAAAAACCGCCAAACTGTAGCAGAGAATTGTATGTATACATTAAACTGTAACGTTCCTAAGGAATTCGTAAGTTTCAAGTTATCGAGTTGCATCAAGTTTTGTCTTTCACTACTACCTTCAGATATAATATCATGTACTCATGTTGGAATCTGAGACCTCAAAGTAGACCTACTTTTACCGAATTGAAACAAAGCTTGGACATGTTACTCAGTAATTACTCGGAAAACAAATATCTGAACCTGTGCGAGGCTTTGCAAGAATCAACCGGCGAAAGCAGCGAGCCAAGATCAACTAACGCGTGTTAAATAGAGTTAGTATGTAGAACAGTGATAATAGAAACGCAAGTGTCACGTAACCTTATCACCTTATCAGCCGGAGAATTTGTACCGTGTGCAAAATCATTTATTTTCTAATCATACATACAATAATCTGTGGTATAATTCCTTTTCTATACATATGTGTGTATATACAACATGTTACTCACAATCTTAAGAACTCAAAATAGTCGAGATAAATACGTCAACTTAACTACTTTCTGTTCCGGGCTATCAAGTAAATCATCAACAAAATGTTTATACACAGTATAACGACGCGTCATATATATGCAAAATTGATCATTCATTCGTCGTATCTTTTTTTGCCGTATCAACCTGTTCGTTTCTTCTGGAAAATGCAAAATCGACGAGTCGCACGTAGGTAAAAATACTACTGATTATATACCTCGCAATATAAAAAACTCGGATAAATCTAACGTAGAGCAGCTCTCGAATGTCGAATTTTTCATCTTTAATACATAAATTACGCGAGTATAATCGCAAGTATGTTTTACGTAAATGTACACATTATCGCAAAAACGTTTACCTTCGCATCTTGATGCTCGAAACAACTTGTCGATCTTAAAATGCAAAAGTATACAATCGTTACATGGCAAGGAAAGAGTATTGTAATTCTCGTCGTATTGTAGCGTGTAAAACTTTTCGATGTGTCATTGTGTCGCTTTTTCTTTTACTAGTGTAATAGATATACTAGTGATTGATATGAAAAAGAGACATCACACCCAAGCAACACAAACGTTGAAATGCAAAGACGTTTAGAAGATGCGTTAATGTATTTTCCTTTTAGTTTCCTCGGACTTTTAAACGTCTTTTGGTCTTTTGTGCTGTTTGGACACCTACAACAAGTAGATGTACTACCCCATTGAAGAGTCCCCTCTGTAGTATCCCTAGATGTTATCACTCTGTACAATTGGAGATTTTTTCATAATTACATAAAATGTGTAATTAATCAAAATGCGCAACGTTTTCTTTTTTTTTCTTTTTTTTTTTTCCAAACAATGGAAATACAAACTCAGAGATATTCCCCGAGAAGAAAATTCAATTCATTTGGTACTAAATATATGCTGCAGTTCTCGGCGATTTGAAGAATGTAATGTATACAATCGAAAACTTGTTAAGAGAGGTCATAGAGAGAAAAATTGACATATTATGTAATCAGAATGATATAAATAGTATATTCTTTTTAATATTAAAGCATACATTAATGTATTTTTCAAGATAATAAATAGTATAGATATCGCGTCCATTCAAAACTCAAAATACGTTTGAACTGCGACGATTACCGAAAAATATTACAGATTCATAGTCGTGATTTAGGGATCACAGCGGCTGCGTATGTATATAAGCTTTTTAATTCCGACAATAGAAATTTAACGAATCATGTATCGCTAGCTTTTGATCGAGTATGAATGCACACATGGGGGGAGCTGCTGATTTTCCTCTTTAGCGTTAATAATCTCGTCTTCTTAGAACGAAGATGTAAAAATTTCGCGTAAGTACATTTTATACTTCCGACTGATTGGAATGTGACCACTGAAAGGTGTGCTTTTACAACGAGGAGACTCAGAACGTTGAACCGACATTTTTCGTTACGTCTCCGTCGCAATTAATATGCTATCACAGAGAAAGTTGTTGCGTTACTACATATGAATTCTCTTATTGGTTTTCTTCGTTTGTTTTGATTTTATTGCAAATCATATATGCAAATCTTATATGTGATTCTCGGAAATCTTTATATTATATTCAAACTTATCTTTGAACCCGTTAGAAAATAAATCATCTTCCATATTACATAATAATATTCCTAAATATATGAGAATCGATGAGAACATTTTTCTTGAATTTATTACCAATCTTTCGTTAGCCCCAATCCAAATCCAAGTGGAGATTCACTTAAAACGTAATTAAACTCAAAAAGGTACACGACGACAGAACAACGTTAATCCGTAGGTATGAAAAATTACCAAGCAAGAGGCAAACTTGCAATAAAGTTATTCTCAACCAACTTAACTTAATTGATCGAAGCACAATTACATCTCCCCTTAGATTTCATTAAAGATTAGATAGAGATATTAAAGATAGAAAGGAAAAAAAAAGAAAGAGGGAAAATAAAAGAGAAAATCAATTTCGAACGCTTCAGACAACATATCGATATTATCGATTCCCATTTTTCTTTTTCAAGTTTAAGCGTCTCGCGGTTCAACTTGCAAATGTAAATTTATTTTACCAGAAACACAGAGTGTCACATCGCGACCGAACATGAGATAAAAATTTGTCCGTAAAGTCCGTTCGGTAATAGACTGTCTTGGAACATTACGATATTACTATACACATATGTTGTCTTAAAGACCGGCGATTGAAAAGCTTCATGGCTACGTTGCTACCGTTTATATAAACGTAATCAAAGAACGAAGTATTGTATAGTAATCTAAACATAAGGATTATACAACAGAAACATTGTTGAGAGAGTTGATAAATTTCTTTCTTTAAGAAGCCAAAAATCACAGACAATATAGTCTCTATACCGGCATTATTTACCGATAGGAATCTGAATATTGACATCCTTACTGCCTTTTGTACCGCTTACAATGCTACCTATATCAGATGCTGTCGTTTCTATTAATTAAACTATCTTCCTTATCAACCGGCGGCGGGCCCGTTGTCAGAGTTGTACTCGGCCCTGCTGTTAAGTAACCGGCGGATACAGGAGTGCCAGCTAATGACAAATCGAGACGACGATTTAATGATTAACTGAGAGAACGCGCTCGAAGGCGAGTCGCTCTATTCGCGTGTCTCTCACCTGTAAGGTAACCGGAAGTAGTGTTGTTAGAAATAAACAAGTCGTGCCGCTGATCCTTGTACTCTGCCCACACACTCGACTTTTCCAAGATGGCATTCACTTTTTCGCCGAGCAACAAGCTCCTCGTCATGGCTTTCAAAGCCTTAACTATCTGCGCCTTAGTCGTGGCGGGGTTCTCAACGATATCCAATCGTCCTTCCAGTATATTTAAGAGATATGGTACCATCTCAGCATCCAGTGCCTGTGCATAACGAGAAGGAAAAACGTGGTGATATTTCCCCGAGAGCGTATATCTCGACGACGTATGTAATCGCCCCCCCCTCTCCTCTGCTCACGAGAGAGAGAAAGAGAGAGAGAGAGAGAGAGAAGAGAGAGAGAGAGAGAGAAGAGAGAGAGAGAGAAGAGAGAGGAGAGATAGAAGAGAGAGAGAGAGAGAGAGAAGAGAGAGAGAGAGAAGAGAGAGAGAGAGAAGAGAGAGAGAGAGAGAGAGAAGAGAGAGAGAGAGAGAGAGAGAGAGAGAGAGAGAGAGAGAGAGAGAGAGAGAGAGAGAGAGAGAGAGAGAGAGAGAAAGAGTGCTCTTTTACACACACGTACATACCTGCTTGATAAGTCTATCTTCATTCGTCGAAAATAATCTATTCAATGTTTCGCATGCTACCGCTATCATGTCCTTCCTCGATTGCATGGCATGCTTTAATGGGCTTATACATTCCGTTTGACATATAGACGAGATACAAATCTACGTGAATATAAAATCGAGCGACGTTAGAGAGACGTAGAGCTACGAATACGCAAAGAGACAAGGACAGCAAGGACTAACTCACTTCGCTCGTAGCCAGTTGATGTAGAATCAATATAGCCGTCTTGTACACCGACGGTTGACTGTTCTGGATAGCCATTTGTCGACAGAGTCGTGGTATATGACCCAACGATGGTACTTGGTCCGCCAAGGTCGGCTGTGCTTGGAGGAGACACACCAGAGCTTGCGTTGTTAATTCCAGCATATCCGTCTGGTTGTCATCAGACATAAGTGTAAAAAAGTGTTAATAATATGTATGTGTGGTGGCGTAATGGGCGATAGTCTGAGAGAGTCTGCAGACACCACCGTGCCATCGTTGTTAAATAAGGGAGGGACACCGACATATCTTTGTTTAACCTGCATTAGATACTTTTTGTAACACTTACATCAGTTTTCTCCTTGGACATTAGTGTCAACGTGGTGTCCATCAGTTCACTCAGGAATTCTTTCGGTTTCCTAAGCGCCCAAGCGGGACTAGCTATAAATAATCTAAGATACACTCCACCTACGACAGGTTCACTGGTCGCGATGTCGATATTATTTTGTGTATCGGGTAACTTTAATATGGCATTAGGGTTTCGTCTCTGCAGTGCGTGGTACCTGAAATGATGACGTGAGAAAAACAAGGACTGATTCGATGTAAAAGTGACAAGATGAAGAAATGAAATGCATTCAACAACCGCCGCGAAGCTTACTCGTCTTTCAACTCGGCGATAATTCTCGCTACTCTAGCTTTCGCGTCATCGTCCCATATTAATTCGGGATTCTCGTGTTTCGTCTCGAACATGTGGACGCACTGTTTAGGCGCATCGCGAATAGCTTCGCTGAAGAGCCTGGGTAAAAATTTCGACAAGTCGAGCTTCACTTTCGGTCCGGCCAATTTGTCGGACGACATCTTCGCGAGTAATTCAGCCGCTGCTTCTCTTATCTGGACATTACTTGAGTTACAAAAGAGATCGAGTACGTATACAACAGCCCCTGGAAAGCACAAAGTTCATCTTCGCTATCGGATCCAATTATCGAGATGTTTCATCGATACGCAAATCATCTTGTTGTTATATGAACTTAAAATTGGTATCGCTATTTTGTACGTAGCCTACATCTTTCACAAACCTTTCGCTAATGCCTCCTTCACGATCTTGGTCGAACTCATCAGCGCGTACAAAGTTTCTAATGCGAGAAGCTGACATTCCTTTAGGTTGTGCAAACATAATAACAGATGCACTACGACTTCGTTCGCGGCTATATCGTCAACGCATTCCTGATTTTTCGTAACATTACTGATTACTTCTAAAGCACTCCTCTGAATGAGCTTGAAGTTGTTACAACCCAGGAGCCCGAACAGCAACTTAAAATGTCCCATACACTGCAGCTCGATTCCAGGATTATTTTTGATAATATTCTT